TATAAAGATCGCCACCAGGCCACCACAAAAATGACAGAGCGCAAGTGTCTTGAGGAGACACTCTCACTTGATGGAACATCTTCTCTATGTCGGCCGTAAGACCTATTTGCTCTTGACGAAAACGAAGTAGTACTCCGACGAGATTATTGGTTAAATCTGGCCCTTGAAGCAGCTGTTCGTTGAGTGACGTATTGCGAAATTTAGCGGCGCAATCGAACACAACTCTGGTCTTCTCAGGCTTCTGCGGGTGTATCACAGGATGGTTGGGAAGATGCCAGACAAAAAGTGGCACTTGATGTAGAGATACTTTCCTCGCGTGACCTTGTGCAACGTAATCTTCAACAGCATCCTTGTACTTCTCTTGGAGAACTTTGTTCTTTTCCAAACGTCTTTTCAGAAGATTTAGTCTTTTTCCGGCCATAGGTCTGTTATTCGGTAGGCACGGATTATCATACTTCCAAGGAAGGGAGAGCTGATAATGGCCATCGACCATCTGAACGGTTCGTTCCATTATTGCCAGGGCTCTTCTATCTTCAATCGACATCATTTCTTTAGATGACGCAGACGATTCGCCGAACTCCGCGTTGTACATTCGCTCAATTTGTGCTGACAGCGTTTCTTGACCTCCACTTAAGAAACTGACGGTCGCTTCAGGGTTGCTTGAACCGCCAACTGGTCCGATAAGTGTCCAACTAAGTAATGTCCGTGCAGCGCAAGGCTGTTTACGGCGACCACGGCGCTCTTCAAAGACCCAGTGCGCCTCGGGAACATCATTGCCGATTAAGATGGATACCTCTTTATCGAGCTTAGGTATACTTATACCCTGCAGATGCGGCCAATCGCGGATATCTTCGGTGCTGGGTATGCTTTTCTTTGAGACAGGTAACTTGTCAACAGTCCACACACGATCTAGTTGTATGCATTCATCTGACGACAATGCTCTCACAGTAAGACTAACTTCTTCTCCAGACCGTTTGGTTCTCTCGGCATTAATGGTAGTTAAAGAAAATGACGTTGGAGAACCTCTTACTCCTAACTCATCCAGAAGGCGTCGTAGACACAAGGTGGTGTCAGAACCATCATCAATGAAAGCATATGTCTCCACTTCTTGTCCACCTTTAGCAGAAACTCGGACGGGCACAATCCTCAAACTAATTCTGTTTTTTTTCGGCATTTGTCGCATAATCCGCCCCGGCCTCGCTGTGGTGTGGACTTGCTTCAGCCAGATCTTCACGAGTCGCTGTTGGCCCGGTAACAGGATCTCCAGAATCACCTCGCGTTCTTGAAGTCTCATTTGAAGCTATGGGAGCGCTCAATGAATTAGGTGGGTGCAGCAAGGAATGGTGCCTTTCTCTACAGCCACTCAGCAAGCAAGCATCAAGACTCCTGCATCGTCTAGTGATGTGATTAGGCTTCAAACAATTTTCACACAGATTTTGTTTCCTAACAAAGTCCTTCCTTTAAGTATATCGTTTGTCCCGGAACTTAAAACACTTCTCCAATTCATGTCTTCCATCGCAAAACTTGCATTTGACTTGACCATCCGTTGCTGACCTCTGATTTGAGCGTTTGCTGTTAGCTGTATTGGCTTGGTTACTAACATCCTTCTCAACTTGAGTCAAAGCAAGCACAGTACCATTACCATCAGCTGCTTTTCTTGGTTGTTTTGTGACTCTTGACTCTCCAAGCTTGAATCCAACTAACTTCCCGAACTCAGTGTTTGCTATCAGAGCCCTTTTTTCGAGAAAGTCTGCCAAATGAGAGAAGGTTGGTTCAGAACCCATTTCCAAAATCTTCCCCGACTCATCCGCTCATTTTGCCTGCATGTGCACAGGAAGACGCATAACGATCTTCTCCAGAGTGTCCAAAGAGTTTATATCGGCTTGATAGCTTAATTCCGCAGAATTCAGCAAACAGATTCGCATGTCCCTTGCGAGCTGTAAGAGTTTCTCTCCATCAGAAGATTTTAGCTGTGGTCCTTTGACAACTTTATCGATGAACGATCGGATGATGACATGACGTTGTCCAAAATGCTTTCTAAGAATTTCACGAGCAGCTTTGTATCCTTCAGGCCCTGACAGAATTACACAGTTTTCAATTGCCTCCTTAGCTTTGCCAGTGCAATACTGGATCAGATAAGATAGCCTTACATTGTCATCTGTAATCGAAGATTCCACGTTTAGCTCAAAATTCTTAATAAATCTGGAGTACCTTGAAAGATCGCCATCAAAGTACAAGAATTCCCGCTTTGGCATGTCCAACTTCTCAAGTCCAAGAACAACTTGATCGATAGACATCTGCTATTGCTCCATAATCCTTTGAAATTTAACCGTTGTTTCGTCAGTGCTATTTCCAGTAACATTCTTCGCTTCCGGTATGTCAGCTTTCACTTCCGGTAAAGCGTGCGGTTTGGTTTCCGGTAAAACGCATTTCTCAACATCCGGTTGACCAGGAACGGCGGAAAGTGACAATCCTTCCAAATATTTCCTCACGTTCTCGTGACCTCTAACTGATCCTTCAGAAGAAAAAACAGAGTTAAAATCAACCTGCTCCCCCAGTTTGGCTTCAATCTCAGCCTGTTCTGCGTCAATCCTGGCTAACATTAATTCGCTTCGAATGTTCAAACGTTCCTTCTCGGCTGACAAACGCGTGTTTTCTTCTTGTAGTCGTAACGCAATTTCACTTTCTTTTATCTCTTGTTCAGCCAGAAGCCTTTTCACTTTAAGCTGAGCCATTGTACACTTGACATTTCGTGCCGATAACTGACTCCCTCCTTTAGAACTCTTTTTCCTTGGGTGTAATTGACTTGGCGTCTTATCGCCGCCACTTGCATGATCTTGAGTCGCATTAGGTGTTTTCGTTTCCAACAAATCACTACGCGCGCCCGCGCGGGAAACTGAAGGATTTGTATTCTGAGTTCCTTGAAAGGCACCCTCTAATCGTACAACAGGCGTTTTGGAGCTCAAATCAAACCCAGAAATATTTGCAATTCCTTCAACGTAAACTCCTCGACTTATTGGGGTGTAAACATCGTTTAACCATTCCTTGTATTTGTTTTCAAACATCTGCATTCGATAAACATCCTTGGCGTAGTCATGAGTAATACGCTCTCTATCCTCTTGCTCCCCAGACAAATGATACCACTGCGCACAAGCACGTTTAAGCTTCTCGAATATGCTCACCAGCGAACTCTGCTTTTCAACAACTTCTTTAGAAGCAATTTGCTCCAAGAGTAGCGGATCTAATTCATTTATAATCCGCGTAATGTGTCCACGGTAGGCTATAATCGTCCGTCCCAAGCTGTCTCTTTCACCAACCGAAGACATCGTTAATGGTAATTTCAACTTGGAACTCCTTTGATCTGTCGCCAACCAGAGCGGCCAACTTTTACCAAAGTCGATCGTTAAGTACTATGTAACCGAAGTCGTCACGCGTATTAGTGTCCAACCGCTTTATTTTATAAATCACACTCCTACGGTACTGTACAACAAAGAAATACAAAGAATACTAAATTACGAATCAGTACAAAATAACAAATACATCAAAGAAAACGGAAAACCGTACAAATGGCGTATGACTAAAATTTACCTTAACGGTTTCTTGACTTAAAAGGAATGAGCAGTTCTTGACCGGTAAAACTATAAAAAACACTGACCGACAAGACTAAGTTTATACCATTAAACTTGACAGATTACGTAACATTACGCAACGATGGTGACACCAAAAAGAAAGTAAACAATATAACAAAAGAAAACTATAAACAATTACAACTAATTGCAAGTAAAACAAAGAAAACCCTAAGTTCTAGAAGTTTCGCTTTAACAATTACTGACAACAATAAACAAAAAACTTTGAAATTGATGAACGCCTAATTTCTGGCGATCTAGTCCTACTAGAGGAACTTAAAGTCTGCTGTATAGCAAATAACCTCCGTAAGAAGTAAAAAATTCTGGACCTACCCTTATACGAACCGGTCAAAAATCCGCGCTACAGCATTCACTGTTTTGACGTTATGCTAATTTTCCAAATTAATGTGGACAATACATATATCCATGACTAATACATTTCAGTGTGAGTATTAGTCATGGAGGTATGTATAGTGCGCATTATTTTGGAAAAATTAGCATAACGTCAAAACAATGAATGTTGTAACGCAGATTTTTGACCGGTTCGTATAAGGGTAGGTTTGTCTTGAAATTTCAAGGTGTTGCTCTGAATCAATCTTAATGAAAGTTTCAGACATTTTTATATACATTATGAAGGTTATGTGAAGAGATTTTAAAAAAAATTCGTTCGAGTCGTTTCGGAGATATTCAAGAAAGCGCTAAAAGTCCAAATTCTGAATGAAGTTGCACTTAGACAAGGTAGTGAGAAAACGCCGGGGTTAGTTTTTAAGATCGCAAGAACGAAAGTACACCAAAATTTCGTAGCATTCTGACGCTACGTAAGAATAATTTGAGTCATTTATAACGCTTTTATTAAATAATCTATCACAGCTATTGAAAATTTAAGGTTTAAAATATATTTTCGCTTTAGTCGAATTCAAACATACAGATTGTTTTACTTCTTACGGAGATTGTTTGCTAAACACCAAACTTTATATTAAGTTCCTAGTGTTTTCAGTAGTAGGTTTAAATTTAGATCACACAAAATTCGGCTTTTCTCAGTTTCAAAGTTTTTTGTTTATTGTTGTCATAGTAATAAAGATTTTAATTAAAACTATATTTTCACAAATTTCAATCCATAGCCAATTACTGGTGAAAATTTCATAGCGATCGGACAAGGAAAAAAACACTTTTAAGGCGATTGAAAAATATCGTTGTGGCCTTTGAAAAACTGTACCGAAACACCTTAATATAGAACGAAAATGACCAAAGCGGTCCATAAAAAAATACAGAAAAATTATTGGAACATTTTCATGAATTGTCGCCATTTTTTATCATTTTTATTATTACTTACCCGGAGAAGAAACGAAAGGTTTCTTTGTTACAATCCCCACAACTGGCCGAACCGATCTGGTGCAAAAATTGGTTAAAGAAGAGATAGGTCTTAATTTGAACGACCGACGACGCCTTTACCTCTACGGATGCTGGTGTGGGCTACGAGGACAAGGGATAGTTTTGGACAACATTGATTAGTAAGTAAAATCTCCCATAAATTTAAATGAATACTAAATAAATAATAATAATAATAATAATAATAATAATAATAATAATAAAACAAATGATTGTTAAAAGGTAATGGCAGCAAACACATTTCTCTGTTGAGTCTGGCTATAATGACTGGCTACGGCAGCAACCAGAAATATTCTTTGGCAAAAAGGATTGGAATGCGGTGCAACTACAATGTTAAAAATACAAACTACACTGTATTTCGCACTGAATTCTATATCTTGTCCTCCCGAACTATCTAGTATGAAACACTTGAAAATTTTCCTTGATACAACACCGGACAAAACTGTTGAGATAGTTCCATCTATTTACTAACTTTTGCGCAATACTACGTCTCCTCTAAAACGAAGAATGAGCAAGTCCCCTCGTCACATGGTATTTTGTTTTGGTCTAAAAACCAAATATATAACTGCTATGCTATTCTAAACAGCTTTGGATATAAGGGAAGGGGGAAATTAAGCATTCATTTGGCGATGGTTTCCATTTCTGCCAGGATGACGGGAAAACATCGAATATTTTTGCAATGTGTCTAAACAAGGTTTGTCCGAGGCTGTAGATTTCTCTTTTTTTAGTGTTTCATAATTTGTTCCTTCGTTGTCAACTTTTCAACAGCAGGTGCATGATAATCGAGCCTATTGTCAGCTTAATTCGGTTTCTTACATCTATGGGGAAACTGTAAGGCGGCCAAAGAATCCATCAGTCTTTGCTCGATGAAAGCTGCCACTTGAAGTTAATGACAGGTTATGGTGTTACTGAGTCGACTAGTTCTGATTCATTATGAGTATGAGTAATAATAACAGTACGTAGAGGGGAAACGAAGCTTAATAACTAAAGACAGCTGCGGTTGCTTTAAGTGTTGTATGACTATCTGTGGAACTGGAGCTCAGAACGCTTTAGATATTTATTCATTTATTTATTTATTTCTTTAAATTTATCCTCAAGCTCTTACTCTTTGCTCCATCTGTTTTAAAACATTCCACCCTTTTGTAGAGGATTTTCACATGACGTCACGGCGTCCATATTGGTGTCCCAAAACAATGAAACGGCGTCCATGTTGGCGTCCCAAAGTCGTCCTGTGGGAGTTGAACTCCTTTGTTATGCAAACGCTTTCTTTTGTTCCAATAAATTTGCATAGATGCTGGTCACGTGAGTGAAAACACTCTATACTTGTGCACAAGCTTATGTAAACAACTCTTCAAACCGAACTTTTTCATTCCATTAACTCGCGGACTATTCAGCTTTGAAACTTGCCAGAGAATTATTCTGGCCACATTCACGGTTATTGTGGTGTTGGTATACTATCCTCCTCTCTCCTCCGCAGACACTCCCGCTGGGTACCCCAATAAAAATAGCAAATAACCGAAAAATAGGAAGCGCGCGGGGGACGATGGGAAGAGAGAACATCGTGTCTCGCACGCTTTCTTCTTCTTTCGCCCCAGCCTCCCTACAACACAAAGAGGCCTCTGCGGAGGAGAGAGACTATACTCTGTTTGTGTAAACTTACAAGATTAACGGGTGATAAAGACAGATTGAGTCAATTTAGGTTTCTAAGAAACTGCCCACCTACCCCTCCCCTAAGCCATCATTTTGCCCAAAGTGAGAAGAAAGTGTTAATGTTAGCTTAGCGGATGGCTAGGTGGGCAATTTCCCAAAAAATCTAAATTTATCCGACAGAGTCAGTTTTCTGAAGAAAACATAATTCCGGTATTAGGGTCACCTACACGACCTACACTGGCGAGCCAACTGTTCCTACATTTCCTTACAAAACGTAATAAACCGTTTACTAAAGAAACAAAGAGTTGGCTCGATTACCCTCCTAGCCGAGCCAGCTTTTCTCCATATAAACTTTGGCTCACCATCACCATCACCATCACCATCACTATCACCATCACTATCACCATCACTATCATTATCGTCATCATCGTCACCTTCGTTGTCGTCGTCATCATCATCATTAGTTGACTTAGTTTCTTTCTCAAGTTTTTCTACTATTTTTTTTTTAGCTGTTGCAAAGTTCATGATTTTTGTGAGAAGGCATACCTAACAGACAGAGATAAATGTGCAACAAGGTTCTCAAACATCGACTTGGCCTTCCAGTACAACAAAGCCACCAAAAAATGTAGTAAGTGCATTTTGTGATTGATGTTTCAGTTATGACAGATCAGATGGAAAAAAAGTTGAGGGTGCGTTTCTTTACTAAAATCCAAGATCAGATCAAAAATCCCGATCATTAGGATTTTTGGTTGAGAAAAGAAAAGATGTATTCAAAAAGGGATTAGTTTTCAATTATTTCCATAGAAACGACCTACAATAACGACGGTATCCCGGAGAAAGAATAGGGAGTTTAAGATACGGAGACTACGGACTACGAACTACGGCTGGACGAACGTTGTCCTATGTTTGTAGCAATGGGTTGAGTCATGCAAATATAGAACGTTAAGATTGCACTACGGACAGTAGACTACCAGAGAAGAGGCGGAGAGGGAAACAACACGCAAAGATTTTCTTGTTTTCATCACAGTTCAGAAAAATGCAAGTCAGTTTTGCATGTGATTTTGTCTTTAGAACAATGAAGAAATTCTTCCATACTTGAAGGAAGCAATTACGTCGGGTGAAATTGGTAAACAAAGTTTTTGTTACACAGGTTTTATTTTTTTTCGCCCATGAATACTTATGTCAAATATTAAAGAAGTAGACAGAAATAGTAATAGCTCATTTATTAATTAGATTTGGAAGATGGACTTCTCCGACTTCTGATCTGATGTAGTTTGAAGTATTGAAATGCCGAGTTTCGATTGTCTCGAAGATGTTTACATCATTTTCACTCAGCAAATGTGATGCAAAATCTCGCATAAACGAAGGTTACACAAGTAGAAAGACACACTAATCAGTTCGAACAAACATTGAAACTTTTCAAGTGCGAAGAGAAAGTAAATTACCTGCATGATTTCTGTTCTCCTCGGCCGTCAATCTGAATTCTGCGTATAAACAGCTATTAAAGCTTATTCAAATATGAGCTTAGCTAGCTAAAAATCTAGTCACAACGGTGGATTAAAAGCGCAAATCTGAGCAGAAATTAGGAACAATCTACATATTTCGCTTCCCTCTCTCTTAAAGCAGGTGAATTGAAACCTTTTTTACGAGAAGACGAGATTCTTGAATTACCGAGACGGCAAAATACGACCAAAATGTTCTCCGTAGTCCCGACTACGCGAAACAGCTCAACAACTCACCGTAGCCGCAGGACTACGAGGGAAAAATGAACAGTCACGTGGTTTTGATCATGCGCAGTAGCATGTTATCCGTAGTCGTAGTCCGTAGTCGCCGTATCTTAAACTCCCTAATAACACGGCTGTTGACTAAGGTTGCAAGTCTGCTGCTATTTCACTGTATTCTGGACGGTTAGCTTTAGGATACTGCTTTAGATAGGCCAAATGAAGACGATGTATTCTGGAAATAAGATATGTATTGGAAAAGTAAAGTCTTGCAAGACGCGAAGGCGAAGTTGTGTAGAAGTTTTTTCCTTGTAACTAGAACAATGCAGGTCCTGTTTGTATTGCGATTTTACCACCCCGATAAAACGGATAAAATCGATCGTTTAATTCATTATTCCAGTTCAAAAATGGACGTAATGATAAGCAGTCTTGTCAAAAAGCTGTTGTATGTATTAAAATTGTTTCGGGTTACCGCTGGCAATATTCACTCTTTTCAGATCCGTAGTAAAGAAACGTTTCGGATCTTATATCCAAAGTATCCGGTACTGGATATGATCCATAAAATCCCCCTCCGTTGTGGATCATTTGGATCAATAATTCGTTTTTGGATTTAGTAAAGAAACGAAATATCCGTAATCGGATTAAAAATCCGGATTAGGATTTTAGTTAAGAAATGCACCATGGATTGTTATATAGCTGGATTTTTTTCCTGGCAACGCGCGCTTATACATATACACGCGTAATCGGAATCCGATTTCAATCATAATTAATTTATTTAAAGTGAAGGGTGGTTGGCGGATCAGATCTCTCTCTGTACTATAGAAAGGGGAAAATAAAAAAAACAACAACAAAATGAAAGAAGTACAGGATAAAAAAACTAAAAACAAAATAGGTTTACAGCCACGTATGCGAAACACACGTCACATGTGGATCTTATAAGCAAGTGAAGGGGGCGCTCCCTTAATTGGCCTAAACGGGTATTTGCCGCTGAGCGACAAAACGATTTTTGGTTCTTAGGGTCTTGAGTCTCAACGAGAGTATAAAATTTCGCCATTCAGTGTATTGAACAGGAAAGACTTTAAGTGAGTGTAAAGGCTAGAGATGAGCGGTCTACGTTTGTGGAATCCACATTTTTTTTTAAATTTTTTTCAAATAATCTAATTCTATGATGTCACTTTGAAACTGGTGTCAGTTCGAAAGGACCCAGGTTCATAAAATAAGGCGTCTTGTGTTAAAGGGGTTACGTTACGAGAATATTTCTGTTTTAGGTTAATTCTGTGCTTAAGTCATTACTCAGTGCCTTTACCAATACACAAAATGCTCATGTAGTGTTATGAAGAAGATATTAAACAACTTTCATCAGGGAACACTAACCACAATAATATTTTGGTGATTTGTGCAGGCATTGCAATAAAATTTGAAAAAGTCGGCCCAATGTTTTCAAGTTTTAATCCATGCCAATCCTTACCATCCGTAGAAACAGACGACAGGAAACTATGGCGTACATTTGCGGACAAAAAGAATTGAAAATAAAATATAATTTGAAGTTCAAAAATTAGACTATCCATGTCGAAATCTCGTCATATGAATTTGAAATCGCAATGAACGCAGTCGAAATAGCATCATTCGAACTTGAAGTTACTTTGAACAAGTTGAAACTATAGCTATAAAGGGAAAACTCGACATCGCGGATGTTGAAGTTCAAATCACCATTCCAACTAAAATGCAAATTCATGATTTGAACTTCAATTCACCTTCTCCACTCTAATAAGCTTCTTAATTATCTTCCACAAAATTCCAAATGAAATCTTTAATTTGAACTTAACGTCACGTCACATATTCGAATTCGAAAAACCAAAATTTCAATTCGAAAGGAAGCGGAAGTAAAAATACACAGGAACCGGAAATGATAAGAGTTTCGCTACACTGTACGTATGGGATGTTTGCATAACTGCATTTTGGCGCGAAAAGATTTCCCTTCACTCAAACTCTCTGGCGGACAATGTGAATGATAAGGGTGACTCTAGGACAATCCAAGAGATTGTGAGGGCTGTAGTGGCAAACTTAAGAGTGGTTTTCTGTAAAATTCGAACTTCGGCCTGACACGTTACCTGGTCGATTTGACTGATTTTTGGCATGTAGTCTTAGAATGGCTTCCTAAATACTTAATGCATATTCTAAGGTTTGAATTCTCTTTGGTCTCAAAGATACAGGAATGACAGTTTTGACGAGGCCTCGAGGGGCCGCCATGTTGGTGAACTGAAGGAGGTTTACTATGGTTAATTCTAGCTTTATCTGTTCAAATCATGCAACTGTAGTTCCGCTCCGTTACATTTGCCCAATTATTTTATTCAACAATCTAACTTATCTACAAACAAAATATGTTTAGTGAAAACGGCTTACTCTAAATCGATGTGGCATGGGTGATATTGGGCTTCCAATTTCTACAAAATTTGTGTACCTTTTAAGTACCGAAAAAGTGCTGTGCGAAGTTATAGCCGTTCGTAGCTCAGGCTAAACTATTTTCGGATAGAAAAAAGGTAAATTACAGTCAAACTAAGTCAAGCGTACCCCCCAAGATTCTATTAATGAATTGATTATTTGAAAAATGAATCCGTTAGTCGTTCCCGTAACTGGTGTCAAATTCAAAGCGGTGTTTCTGCATACGTAATGAGCAGTGAATATTTTACGAGAACTTCTCTGTATTTGGTCAGATTGGAAATCTTTGAATGGATTAAGCTTCTTAGAAGACATTTACATCAATTTCAGGAAAATGGAGCTGGTAGAAATTTCATAACTGCCCCGCGTGCGAATTCACGGCTCATTACACATGCAATAATGCAGAGATCAATCTGAAATCTACAACCAGCAACGGATTCAACTTTTGAAAAATAAATTCATTAATTTATTCTTGGGGGGTACGCTTGACCTGATTTGACTGTAAAGGAGGAAGGATAATTCTTTGCAACTGTATGAGTCACGATTACGTTATTTTAATGATGAAGCTAGAATTAATTATAGTAAACCTCCTTCAGTTCACCAACATGGCGGCCCCTCGAGGCCTCGTTAAAACTGTCATTCCTGTATCTTTGAAACCAAAGAGAATTCAAACCTTAGAATATGCATTCAGTATTTGGGAAACCATTCTAAGACTACATGCCAAAAATTAGCCAAATCGACCAGGTAACGTGTCAGGCCGAAGTTCGAATTTTACAGAAAACCACTCTTAAGTTTGCCACGACAGCCCTCACAATCTCTTGGATTGTCCTAGAGTCACCCTTATCATTCACATTGTCCGCCAGAGAGTTTGAGTGAAGGGAAATCTTTTCGGGCCAAAATGCAGTTATGCAAACATCCCATACGTAAAGTGTAGCAAAACTCTTATCGTTTCCGGTTCCTGTGTATTTTTACTTCCGCTTCCTTTCGAATTGAAATTTTGGTTTTTCGAATTCGAATATGTGACGTGACGTTAAGTTCAAATTAAAGATTTCATTTGGAATTTTGTGGAAGATAATGGTTGCATTGTTGACGATTAAGAAGCTTATTAGAGTGGAGAAGGTGAATTGAAGTTCAAATCATGTAATTTGCATTTTAGTTGGAATGGTGATTTGAACTTCAACATCCGCGATGTCGAGTTTTCCCTTTATAGTTTCAACTTGTTCAAAGTAACTTTAAGTTCGAATGATGCTATTTGGACTGCGTTCATTGCGATTTCAAATTCATATGACGAGATTTCGACATGGATAGTCTAATTTTTGAACTTCACATTGTATTTTATTTCAATTATTTTTGTCCGCAAATGTACGCCATAGGAAACAGTTTCAGTACCCAAATGTAGTCTTAGAACAAACCAGGACCTTTTTTAGGGGAATTAAATAGATGCGAAGACATGTTTTAGCTTTGAAAAAAGATAGTGACTAGCGTGACAAAGTCTCTTTAAACGGGGTAGCAAAATAATGAACAATAATTGTCTTAAACTCTGTCTTGATTTGAAGGGCTCGACGGCGCATTTCGACCCAAACTTCCTTTAAATGTCTCACCCCCCCCCGGGGCTCATAGGTGATCTTGATGCTCTTTACAAAACTCTATGTAAGTCAGTGGTTACCATAGGTAGTCTCACACGCATGCGTTTCATGAGAAGTCATATTTCCTCCCCTCTCATGCACATTCTGCGTTTGTTAGGAGAAAGGAAATGGGACTGCTCTGAAAACGTTGAGTGGGAGGGACTCGTAGTTAGAACGTCCGCACTATTTGAATCCCACCAGAGACTCAAAAAGGTGGCTTCTTTGTTTCACACTCGGCGATCATAACATATTTCCCGACATTTTCTTAGAATTCAAGATTTTTAAGCTTAGCATAAGAAACCAATTCCACAAAAAATATAATAGAGTACAGAGACATGCTGCTAAAGGTCTGTAGTCTAAAAGTGGTTATACTCTATACTGAGGGTAAATAGAATTGTCATTCGATGCAAATTTTTCTTCCTTTTCATTGGACGAGAGCCCACCACGTGACTTGCAAAAAAGTGCCTAAAAATAATGGTCTGCTCATGCGCAATGTCGTCCAACTTTGTTTGACTGCAAATTATGCGTAAATGACACCACGCTTTTCTCCTTTTTGCGATCGCTTGGCAGATCGCTTCGCTTCCCGAAGATATTCCTTTAAATAAAACTCGGTGATCGAACGATAAAACAGCAGGAGCCTATCTGAAAACAGTTATTGTACTCGGTTATCGCAAAATATCGTGATTTGTCAGTGTCTCACGATGTTTTGCTCAACCCTTGTCCAATAATTGTTAATTACCTATAACTAACCCGAGCCTACTTATACTTGCTATTATAGCTCCAGTGAGTGGATATGGTACAGATGACATAGAAAAGGCGAAGTGTGGATATGCCACATGTCTCTGCGATATGGAGATGATTCGATGTTTTAAACACTATAAGGAAGACCTCGACTTGGATAAGCACCACGGATGGGAAATACTTCAAAAGAAATCATGTGCTTTCAAAGGTAACATTTTCTTTATGATAAAGGGCTTTTTATATTGATTCATTCAAAATACTTTGCCGTTTCTATTTGGCTTTAAACCCCGGGATAATTCTTCAAACCAAGTTGGCGCTATCCAAAATTGTGGAAGACGGGAGCAAAAAGGCAATATACAATTATTACGATGGTATATTGCCCTAATATACAATCGCGTGAATCTCTTTACCAGACAGCAGTGTGGCGGCGGCCTAGCATATTTGGTGTTTAGGTAAGAAATAAAAGAGAGATAACAGCTATCCCATCACGACATTGGAGGGATAACTGACTAAAATGAACGGAATAAAATTAATGCAAAAACACGCAAACGTTATTGCTCGATTGATGTCATGGTTGTGCCGACTGAAAACTTTCAGTAGCCTTAAACTTTCACGTGATCCTATTCAGACAGGGCTCATCATTTCCAGTATCCAGGCATTACTGGATTAAAACAATGACGTAATATGCTTTTACTATGATGTCATATATGTATTTTTAATTTTTCTTAATGCTACTGTAAGACAGGAGCCTGTGTAAGAGCACTGATACTTTGCATAATAATCTAAATATATTATTATTATTATTATTATTATTATTATTTTATTAACTAATTAATTAATTAATCTACATCAACTTCTGCCCTCAAAGGCAATAACACTTAAACATAAACAAACCCTTTTTTAAGGAAACAAGCAAATTTTTAAAACATGGTTGTCAAAAGTCAGTTGCAATGGTAATGACAATGTTTACGTGCACGTTGCGGCGAAATTTTTAGGAGAAGTCACTAAATTTGGTGGTGATAGCTTAATCGATTTTAAAGTTATTCAACTTTTTCGTGAGTCGGGGGGGAGGAGGGGAGGTCGAAAGCCCCCTTCCTGTGTGAATAGTGTTAAGGCGTTTTTATGCTTTTGTTTACAGCACGCAGAGACATATGCTTTAAAGATTCTTGCTACACATTTGCGCCAAGGGGAAATACGTGGCCAGAGAACAGAAAAACCTGTCAAGACAAAGGGGGAGACTTGGTCGCTATGGAAGAAGAAGAAGAGTGGCAGTTCGTTAATACAGAAATTCAGAAACGCACCATTCCGAAACCCATGGAATATCACATTGGTTTGTTAAAAGAGGAAGGAGTTTGGAAGTGGGTCAATGGACGACCACTGACAATTAACAAGTGGCAAAAAATAGAGCCAAATTATCGGCAGCCGTCTGGTGATGGAGATGTGGCGGTAATGTCGAAGGATTACCCTGAATTCACGCAAGGATTGTTTAATGACCTCCCAGAAGATATGAAGAGACCATTTATATGTGAAATACCAAAAGGTAATGCACCTATCAATGTAAACCCCGTGGGGGGGAGGGGGGGGGGAGTGCGGGCAAGGGGTGGGGATTTGACAAATTTTAAAATTTTTCGATCAAATTCCCCAGGGTGGGAAACGAAAGGTCAATCAAAAGTGTCAAAAAAGCCCCCACCCCAGGGGAAAAAATCTAAACAAAAAATGCTATAATACTATATAAAACGAATAAAAGAACATTTCAAACACGTTGTTACTACTTTTATTTACGGTTAACGGAAGCTCCATTAAATTACTCGCTGTAATTAAGTATTTTCTCTCTCCACTAGCATCTCTTATCTTGAACAACAAAATCACTCCAGGAAGATTGGCCGTGCTATATAATATTAATAAAACGTAAAATGCTTTATAACATCCGCTCAACATGTCGAAACAGGTCGGATCAGTGACCCATAAAAAATCCTCTGACTTTCATGGTGGAATTCGATTTCAATCGAGTTTTACAATCAGATGGGAACTTGAAGTTTAGATGACAGTTTAAAGTATTATGGCGATTAAAACAAATGAAAACTTCATACCTTTCTCCAACAACATGACTTTCAGGAAGCCTCGAGGGACGGACTTGGTAACTGCTTCTGAATTGATACCAGGCTTCTGTCGGTCAAAGTCAAATGTCCCGACCCCGGGGTCGCTTCACACCATCAAAAGCCCGACAGCGGGGATAGTCTCAGGCATCAAATCCCCTCCCCTTGCCCGCACCCCCCCCCCACGGGATTTACACTGATAGGTGCATAAGAGGAGTGAGCCAAATTTATGAGTAAGAAGTTTCTTGAGAAGTTGACCTTCTGTATCTTAATCTAATGTAATATTCACAGATTTCAGATTTTCTCAAAACAGAAACCTGTGAGGACCCGTCCACACGTATCCGGAAGTTTTCGGAAACAAAGATCTTTTCTTTCTTTTAGCCTTCAACCCAAACATAAACTGCCTTCAGTCAGGCACCAAAAACGCAAGTTTACAAAAACGTTCCTAGAGTGAAAATTTTTGAAAACGCCACCCTCTCGTCTACGTGTGGACGGACAAATACAGAGGCTTTCCAACCTCGTTCCCAGGGTCTTCTCGTTTTCAATATGGCGGCTACGAGAAGACCCAGATACATGTCATCCATCATATACTTACTACTAGCATTACACAATATTTGGAAGGGATGCTATCATACTTCGTTCCACTGTTTCAGCACGCTACGTGTCGACGCGTACTTTTTTGAAAACGGAGAAATTATTTCCAGAAATATCCGATCACATGTAGAAATGTCAAAGTTAGACTTACTAATAATTTAAAGTGACAGGCCGGACAATCGAGATCTAAAAAGCCTTAATTAAAGTATAAGAGATTGCGTGTTTCCTGTTTTACTGTATAATGATTATTTATAATTATGCTGATAATCACAGGAGTTTATTGCACAATCAAGGCGGATGTGGCGGTGTTGGTTCAAGACAGTTTGCTTATTTCCGATACGACCATTCAAAACATACAATCCACGGTAAAAAGATTATTTTCCACCCTGGAAGCTAAGGATCCAAGTGCGATTTACAACTTTGCATTTGCAATGTACGCTGTGCGGCGGAAAATGAGTCCCTTTGGTAGCAAGGAAGACACAGTCACGTACATGGATAAAGAAATCAAACGAGGCAAATATGGTCGAGATCTTGGTGACAAAAACTTGTTGAATCGTACCCTCAATAAAATGATCACTGATAGGTTTATGAGAAGCCCAAAAAATACAAAAAAGGTAAGTGTCAATTACGGATATTTTTGGCAAATTGTTTTAGGGGAGTATATGACCTGGCCAATTTGATTTATCTTAAAATTGATGAATGAAACTAGAAATACGTACATTTGTATCTCGCAACCCCTCGGGAAACTCGCTATTGAACACAAGTTAAGCCCTGGCGATGATATCGGTTAGAAACTGGTTGGGTGACAATCCGCGAATTATCCTGTTATAAAGACTCCTTCTTATTTCTCTCATGTAATCTTAGTTCGTTTTTTGTTTCAATATCTTCAATTCTTAAATTCCTATTTGAAAACTTATGAATAAAATAAATAATATGTAACTAGAAGGTAGAAGTGGAATTTGGAAATGTTGTTTTTTTAGGAGGGGTAAAATCGAAGTAACCGGCCCGGGAAAACCCTCTTAGAGCAAGGGAGGGAACCAATGGTAAACTCAACCCACATAAGGCGTCAATAACAGGATTTGAACCCGAGCCACATTGGTGCCACCCTGCGCCACCCGGCTCCCCCTGTAAGTAGTAGTTCAAAAGTGAACACTATTGCGAGGTTTTAAATTGCAATGAAACTTACAGAATGAAGCAATCAAAAGGCCTCGGCCTGGCGATATTAGCTGTGGAAAATGACTTATTGACCATGAATTAACACCATTTCTAACTAACAGCAATAGAAAACAGCAAGAAAAGAAGGTCTAAAATTGCACGACTACTGATGTTGAATGTAACTTCAGCATAGACGACTCAACTGAATCGAAATTTGGCACACATAACTTATTCATTTTAAAGTAGAAATAGAGGGTCTTTACATAGCGTCATCTCAGCCGTATTGGAGTTCCAAAACAATGAAACAGCTACCATGTTGGAGTTCCGAAACAATCTTGTGGGAGTTGTAATCTTTTCTTATGTAAACGCTTTCTTTTGTTCCAATAAATTGCAAAGATACTGGCCGGGTGAGTGAAAACGCTCTATACTGTGTTGTTAGGTCACGTGACATATCCCAGAACATTTTTTCCGACAATCTTAAATGATTGACAAATCAACGTTTTTAAGAATATACATCAAGTTATAACATTTTTCTCATTCATAGGGAATATTTCTAACAGTTTACGTTTGGAATGACTGTTTATGAAGGCAAACATCATTTTAAATGCCCAAACTTACAAACTTGAATTATTCAAAACTTAAATTCAGTTAAACTTCAAGTCCAGTATGCCTCTGACAGGAACACCTTATCTAATTTAACAAATTTGGCACAAATTCGCCAAATTCCTTCATTTTAAATTTTCGGCCACGTGAAATGTCACGTGACCAGAACTTAATATACAACTATCTCACGAAGGGGGGTGGGGGGAGGGTGAACAGTGGTGGGTAGATATATACCGAGACACAAGGCGTCGAGGTATATATCTAGCGCTGTTCACCGATCATGAGGAGAATAGTTGTTGTACCAACTCAGTTGGAGAAAAATGACGAAAGGAACTTTTTGTAAATTAAAAACGTCACTTAGAAGGTAATTAGTTAGTTGGTATTTGTTTGTACGACTGCTTCATTTATCGCTTAAATTTCGTGTTTCGAAAATGTCTCGAAGCGAGACGCCATCTTGGCTCCTGTCGCAAAACAGTGAATAGCCAAGGATATTCCGAGTTACGGGAGCCAATCAAAACGTGCGAAAAGTGCTATTTACTAATTTGGTAAATACTAACGAGAGATATTGCCAATCATAGATATTTTCCGCACACACCTTTGACCCAGACCTTAAACTCCTTGAGTTATTTTAGATTTGTAGACTAAGACCCTGTTTACATGGAGTGGGGGACCCCGGTCTAGTGGGGTAGGTTTCTTTTGTTTTGTGTCCCCCAGAGCGTGAAAACAAAAGAAACCAACCCCACTACACCGGGGTCCCCCACTCCATGTAAACAGGCCCTAAGGCTAGCAATGTCCCGAATAACCTTCTTATGTTCACCTGCCTGCCTCATTTGCAAATCAGTTCTTTTTCTTTTTTCACTTTCCGCTTCACATTCATAAATTCTTTAGATTCTAGTTCTATTCTCAGACGGGAATTTAGAGAATGAAGATGGGAAGATTTTGGACACCTTCAAGCTTCGAAATACAGAAAACCTGTTGAAAGTTACGAACAAGATCAAAGTCATTGGGGCTCTTATTCCCAACAAAGACAATACACAACGAATACAGGAGCTAAAAAGTATCGCCTCTGAACCAGATGACGCAATTTATGCTGATTTTTGCGCTCCAAACCGTGAAAAAATTGCAGATCGTCTCGCGGCTCGAATTAGACGATATTTGGTCTGCAAAGGTATTTAATTCAATTAGAATTTTAATACTACTGAATGATGTAACTCGCACGAGGAAAATCTTAATCTGCTTACCTTTTTTTTGATTTGTTGTGGCGACGCCAGAACTTTAACTCGCATGTTTCTGTAAAACAAATCTGTTTTAAGGAAGCACGTTAAGGTACGTTCGATTGACCGTATCCTGGAAAAGGAAGACATTCTAGATTTTTCCGGAATAGTCTTAACTATCAATAAAATGATTTTATTATTATTATTATTACCTTTATTTTTAGAATGTTTCAGGGTAGTTTGTTTATTTGGTATAACAAAGTCTTGGTTTTTGTTTCACAAGTATAGCATCAACCAAACACATTGTAGAAGGGGAATCTATTTTTCTTTTTGTTCTTCATTTTTTTTTTTTTTTTTTTTTTTTTTTTTGAAGAAGAAGAAGAAGAACTAGAGGAAAAATTAAGGGAGGAAATGGTCAGATAAGTCTGTTCCTCATTTCCCTCTTTTAAATTTATTGTCACCGAGGACCTCCGCCATAATGTTCGTGTTAGCTGCGACGCAAGAAAAACGACATCATTATTTCATTTGTCATCTTTGAAATAGTAAGTTCATTTTATTCCAGAATTGGAATAGCAGGTCAATCGAACGAATATTGCGGTGTTATTCTATGTCTTCCATATTCTGTTATATTCCAGAATATGGTCAATCGAACGCACCCTAATTTTACTAAATGGAAAAAAAGAGGGAGAGAGCCGTGGGTGTTCTGTGTATAACGTCATTCAAATGGCCGCCATCTCGGTCGCCATTCTGGGTTTTACTCAGATAAAGGTGACTCGGGCGCAAGCATTTAGAACTCGTAAAAAATGACATTGCAAAATTGAAAAAAAGGTTGGTTTATTAATTTAACCTAGAGTTCAATTTAATCTTTCATTTGATCTGAGTTTTAGGTATCTGTAGTTTAACTGGAACTCCCTAAATTACTTGGATCTCATGACACACTCCTGAAAGTATCTGGTAACTCGATCGTTGTCCCTATCTTCGTTCATCGCGCACTAATTACTATGTTCTTTATAACTTTCAACAGTAACGTACAAAGTCGAAGTTTACACTCCAGATGAATACGTAAACAGAGAATTCACACTGACTGTTAGGATAAAAGGAAAAGGGGGAGAAAAAACAGAAGATCAAAAGTTGGTGGCAACAGAAGGCAAACAGGGGTATGGTAGTCCTATCTATTTGTTAACAAGATACGAACTCGCCCCGGCCCATGTAAGATAACCCAAGACAGTCTTGCATTCTGGATTTCACGCTGTGGATTCCGGATTACAGGAACTTGATCCCCATCTTTGGCAGTGGAACTTGTATTCCGAATTCTAATTATTAGCCAAGTGTGATTCCGGATTCCTGAGGTGTATTCTGGATTCCAAAGCCCTGGGCCCAGTTGTTCGAAGGCCGATTAGTGCTTAACCCAGGTTTTTTTCTTTTTCAAAAGCATTTTTTCGGATAATTTTATTTGTTTTTTTGTTTTTTTTTTCTGAGCATCCAGTCATCAACTCGTTGACAAAAAGAATCAAACTGAATTTACTTTTTTTACGCTTTTATATCTGCATCCAAATTTTGCGCTAACCCTGGGTTATCTTAACCCAGCTTTGAACAACCCGGCCCAGGATTCCAGATTCCACAAGCAAAAACTCCAATTCCCGAATTCCGGAATCGTAGTCCCTTACATGGGTCTGTTAACTTAGGAAACTTTATCAAAGCGTTAAAACAGTAGGTGGCATTGCTTGTACCAGAGAGTTTTCACTCATATGGCCTGCATTTACGCAAATTTATTGGAACGAAAGAAAGCGTTGACATAAGAAAAGAGTTCAACTCCCTTTGCTGGAATCGGTTTAGAACACCAACGTGGGCGCCGTTTCATTGTTTTGGACGCCGCGACGTCACTTGAAAGCGCTCTAAATGAAAGACTTCCCCAAGCGGTCTTTACTTTCATGGGTTTCTTCTCTCGGAAGAGGATTACTATTTAGTTGCGGAAAGGCTAATGTATTTGAAATTCACACTGTTTTAGATTAATTTGAGTTTTCCTGATCATGTGTTTATTATCGGTTGTCGATTGGTTTGTCCTTAGGAACTTGCTCGTGATAAAAGCCGAGTTCTCCGATATTGATGTGGGCACCATGGAGACGGTTGAGGTACTACCAGATAGAAAAATCCAAGGAAATCGTGGGTGGACCCTTAAACAGGTACTATATGATATCAGATCCCGACTATCACTGAAAATACTCAAATAAGACTTTTTGGAATCGACAGCCGACGTAATGCTAACCATCTGATTTCGCTTGGCAACGCGTCCTAGTCCTTACCAGTTCTACAAAGATAACTAGCTTTACATGTCTCAGTATTTGGTAGCAGTTAAATAAACTTGTTCTGGCTAGAGTTCCTTAAATGTCTTTTCCGTTTTTTCTGAATTGGGGTCGTTCGGTCGGATAAAAAAAAAAATAACGTACCCCATCGGCATCATTGCCGTGGAGAGTGGAAACAACAACACCTGGAGACAAAATCAAACTGCGTACCCGTCTCTCCGTTAATAGGTGAAAACTAGAAGTTGGTGCTATGAAATTCTATAACAATGCTCATACTATGAAAGGTTTGAACCCAGGAGTTATTTCAAAAGTAGGTTGTGTTTGATCGTCCAGGTGAACGAAGCCCTGAATAGGACTGTTTTTTTTTTTTTTTTTTGACAGTGACTAACGGTTTCGACAACCTGTGCGGTTTTCATTTTCAGAGTCATCTTTGACTCTGAAGATGACTGCCGCACAGGCTGTCAACAACAACTGTCCTATTCAGGACTGCGTTCACCCGGACGATCAAACACAACCTACTTTTGAAATGCTCAAACTTTTGATTAAAAGATTTAATGAAAGGGAAAAAAGGGTTAACTACGTAATTATTTTAGAAAATGCAACTTAAAAAAGTCAGGTCGGTCGGACGATGCTAAAACAGGAAAAAAAAGGAACGTTTAAGTGCCGAGTAAACTGAAATAACTGTCTTTGGTTGGTTATCAGATAAAAGTTACAAAGGAAGACCAAACAATTACTGCAGTGTTTGATGAAGAAATTCCTATCTGGCCGATGAATTGGTATTCTGGTAAGTTTTGCTAACAGTAAAAATTTAGAAGCAATCTAACAAAAACACGAAGAGGTTTATTTGTCTTATGGCTTAGCTTTTAAGGGGTGGCGAGAGGCACTACGTCGTAGACTTTCTGATTTGTATTATGTTCGGTGACGCAAGGGCCTAGAAAACCGGCTGCAAATTTGTAAATTGTGAATAAATAAGAGCAGAATCCGTTAACTAGAACGTTTTATTTTTTCTACACCATATTTCAATTTTGGAACTTCTCTTTTTTAATAATAATTGGATATTTTTAGATTTTCATTTTCAACTCACAGCTTTGTTGTAAATAATTGTCAAATTCAGATGTTATCATTAGTACTGTTGTTATCATAATGACGGTCATTATTGTATTTTTACACAGAGAGCCCAGATCTTTGAACTGTCCACTTAATTGAAATGACCATGATTATGGAATTGTATCATCGCTGAAAGGAAACTGTCAATAAACGTTTATTAAAGTTCAGAAAAAATAGTGTATGTTTGTTGTGTCTTTTCTGGGCGGGTTTCTTGGTGTTGCGGAAACCATGGTTCATACAACTTTAGACAAAGCAATTTCAAGGATTTTTCCAGGGCAAATTACAGTTTTCGAAGACTGTGATTTAGTCAATAAATCGGCATTCTTGACTTTCACTCCTTTTTTTAAAACCTTATTGGCTAAAACACGTCATGGAGTCATTTACGATTTTTACTTCATTAGCCAAGGTTGATCACATTATTTTATACTACTTTCCGCAACAACGCTTTGGAAAATGACTGGCTATGACTTGCAATTAATTGCAACTGAAGTACAAGTGAATTTCAAGGACTTTTCAAGACCTAATAAAGAAATCAATTACTTTTCAAGGACCTTAACCGAATTCAAGGACTTTTCAAGACAACTACTAAAATTTAAGACCTTTCAAGATTGTACAAGCATGGGAAGCTATTGTTGGTTCGATTCCCTTTCGCGTTGTGGTATGCATAGGTATTGTTTAGTGTCTTTTCAATATAGTTTTGCCGGTACATATTACGTCAATTGGTCATGATTCGTACAATCTTGAAAAGGTCTTGAATTTTATTAGTCATCTTGAAAAGTCCTTGAATTCAGTAGAGGTCCTAGAAAAGTACTTGATTTCTTTATCAGGTCTTAAAACGTCCTTGATTTTCTCTACTTTCTTATTTCTGCTTCTTTATTTCAAATGGTATTGCTGCCCTTCAGATACAACTGCAAGAGTCATACCCAGTGACTGTTATCATTTTGCAAAGTGTTGTTACGATCAACTATGGCTGACAAAGGAAAAATTACAAATGACTCCACTGAGTGTTTTAGCCAGTAAGAGGTTCAAAAGGGGTCAAAGAAACCGAGTTTCTGAAGAAATCTTAGACCTTGAAAACTGTAAGTTGTCCTTGAAAAGTCCTTAAAAACTCCTTGAATTTAGTTTGTCTGAAATTGTACCAACCACGGTTGGTGTTCCCGTCTTCAAGACAAAGAAAGTACCCCAGCTTTTCTGTCCTTAATCTTACATGTCCGTAACAACCGCGATCTAGCCACTTTTGAAATTTCAATGTTTGTTTAAATGAAAGAACTCGAGTGGAGTCAATTCCAACCAATGCTCAATTAACAGCAAAAAATTAAATTACAATAATAAACAGCTTGCTACGAGAAACTGAAAAAGAACACATATATAGAACTGTAAACTATTTCCCTGAAACCTCTTTAAAATATCATAAATTCGAGGCAAAAAAACAATTGCGAACATAAACAGTTTCCAATTAGCATGCACCAAAACTGACACTTATAACATTAAGTTACGACGATTTTCTTTCTAGCCAAAAAATGGTCCCATTCAGGACAACAAGGTTTCTTTGAAGCCACAGGAATTCCTCTCTAGGTCGTTCAATTCAGTACCGTACATTTTTCCCGCCGCACAAGCTACACATGTGCATCAAGGAAGCTCACTACGCATGTCCCAGTTCTTAATAGGTTTTTGGGTCCTAACAGGTCCCCTTTTCTTGGACTTTTTGTTGGACGGCTCCATACACAACGACACAGAAAAGCTCCTGCTGCGATGTGCTGCCTCAGTGAAAAATCTTCAACCCTGTTCAATCTTCATCTGTCGTTCACGCGCGCGGACAAGCGACTCAAGAGCTCGTGCGCGGAATTCCAGCTCTTTCAGCTCTGCTTCTTCGTCCGCGGTTGGTCCATCAAATTGGCCTGGGTCACCTTTATTGTTTTCCCGCATGGCACTTCTTCCTGCAAACGAAGACACGTGAACGGAAGTATGGCTTGTTAAAGGAGCCGTGTTACGAAACTTATCAAACTTCAAACAATGGGAACCGCCACTACAGGGTGTCCCAAAAGTTCGTTCCTCTAGTTTGTTGCGCTGTAACTTTTGATCAAAACTTTATTTTTGCATGGAATGTTTAAAAGATGCTTTAATTGCTCTCTCGATTACTTGTATTCAGAAGTTCAGTAACCAGCATTTCAGTAACCAGCATGCCTTCTTTGTTTCTTTTTAATCACATTTCGTTAAGACGTTGCGGCATGGTGTGGGAAACGCGATGTAGCGCCAGTAGAGGTCCAGATGATTCATTTTGAGCTTTTCTTATCACGTCAGTGGTACGCAGAAGCCATTTCGACCCCCAAAACATCATTTTTTAGATTAGGCAGCTGTAACAAAATTTGGGGGGCATTCATTCAAAAAAGCCTTTCCACACTAAGGCTTCTTTACAAATTTGAGAAGAGCTGAGCGTTAACGTTGCTTGACGAACTGAGCAAAGCTAAACCGTCGGTTTATTTTCATGAATCTGCTCCAGACTTGATAACTGTTGTAAGAAATACCTTGATGAGTTCCTCTGTTGTACCTAGCCTTCTTTAAAATTAGTTTTAGCTGCTTTATTCATGACTTTCGTTTTTCCTCCTTTTTTCTTGTTTTCAAAACCTTCATTTCTTGATGACCATTTTACCACCCCCAATTTTTTGGATTCGGATTTTTCCAGGTTTTAGCACTTTCTTTATGTGACGAAGCAGTAGATCGAAGTATACCTGGTTATGCTTTCACCTAGCTGAGCGTTTTTGCTTTATCTTTCATGATATTCACAAAAAAGGAGGAAGGCATTCGAGCAATTTGGGCTACAAGATACAAAAATTTGTGGACGGAAATATACTAGCGCACACCCACTTTTGGCGCGAAAGTACACAAATCGAAAATTCGAGTCGAAAGAAGGCACAACAACTATGACATATTAAATTAGATTAAAAACACCAGACTTTTATTTAAACGATTTGCTTATCAAGTCCAACCGCACTGGATTACAGGCTTATACAGCAGAGGAACGAACTTTTGGGACACACCGTAAATTGAGTGAAACATAGAAATAATAAACAGCTCATAAAATTAAAAGAAGGTATAAAGAGAGAGCTTTAGATTTGAGGACGAGAACGACTGCGAGTAAGAGAGTTGTGTTAAAAACAAAAAACAAAAAAAAGAACAAGACATCCCGGAAAACTTCAATTTACTTTTTTTTTTTATCAACAAAGTTAGTATGGTTATTTATCCTTAAGGAGGTTAAGCCCTCTCCCTATAGCAAAATGGTAAAACTTCTTACATTTGATAACTTGTTCCCGCCACTATGACATTCTCGCTAAAACTCGAAGTAGAATGGCGACGGCTATCACGTTTTCCTGCCAAAATGACGCTGGTTCACGCGTGAGATAATCTCGTCCTCTAAATCGCCGTCGTCTCAGAATCTAAAGCTCTCTCATAACGCAGCAAATACAAAATGAGGAAGACATGGACAAACTTGAGGTGGTATTGAAACAGACTGCAATTGCGTTTTTGGTAAAGTCAATAGCCTCACAGCTTTTCAAAGTTCATTTTTGTGGTTTGTAACGTTTGTTAATCATTGTAATACTTAATTCTGCCGACAGTTTGCTATCTCGAAGGAAGATGATGTGCACTGCCGGAAAACAAATATAAATGAAGTTATGACCATAGCAGTCGTAATCGCAATTCACAGCGGTTAGCATGCATAACTCCACAATTGTTTTTCGGGATTCACTTGTAATACACTTTAGCTCTGGCCTGTTCCTAATGTATGGATACTCGTAGCTCAGTTGGTAGAACAATGTACCGCTAACGCAGAGGCAATGGGTTCGAATTCTGCTGACGCCTTGGTTTTTTTTTTTTTTTTGGGGGGGGGGGGATTAATTTGCAATTGCTTTTGTATTTACGATTGCGAGGGCCATAAATTCATTGACTTTTCTATCTAGTAGGCGATTCCACCATGACTAACCACTGATCATAGATCTCAGTGGTTTAAAGCAGCCACGACTCAAATTTAGCCAACATGTTTTCAAATTTGCCGTGTTCACTATTACCTGTTTGAAGTTTAGTTTTCCAAACGTACATTTGGAAGTTTACTTCACTTTAAGATAATTTCGCATAGAACGGCAAAATATTGACTAAAAACGACAATAAAATTGTCCACCATAAAGACAGTCAAAAGCACAAAATTAGAGCGCTAGCCCTTCGAATTCGTCAGAGCATTCACATTGGTTGCAGGATGTCAAACATGTTAATTGGAAAAGGTATCTGTACTATCTGTCCTCTCCAAAACTATCTGTACTTGACACAAGCCTTCCTTGACATGCTGACGCCTCTGTCACTCTCTGCCCCATGTCGACTGTCACTTCGACAGAGGTGATTATTTTATTCATGCATGTAAGAAAAGATTAACAGAAAATATGACACAGAAACAAATACGCAAAAAAAAAAGGGAAGGAAAAAATACACAGAAGCATGTAAGCACGAAACAACGTTTAGAACACTAAACCTAATTTTGTGCCGCCTGTTTTTGTTATTATTATTATTATTTCAGTTTATTCTATAATTATTTTTTATATACATGGATAGTGCCGGAGCAAGCCAAAAGTAAATAGAGAGGGCTCGTTTGATGCTGTTTTGATTTGCCATTTTCGAGACCGTGCTGTTACTTGCATCGTGGTATTACAAACCTACATGTAGACCTACCTCCAACAAGTTCGTCAATTTCTTCTTGGTTTGGAATTGTAATCATTTCCTGGAATATGATCATATCATTTTCTTTCTTCTCCTCTTCTCTTCCCGTTTTGATTCTCTCTTGTTTCCTTTCACTGTCGGAATCCTGAATTTCATCGAGAAACAAAGCCATTAAGATCGTGGACAATTCTGCTTTTCAGAAACTCACGGGGAGAATGGATATAAGCTTTGCAGGGTATTGATTTCTGGGATTGTTTGGGTTAAGCCTAGTTCTCATATGCCGCCGATACTACTCCAACATATGAAGACATAACGCCGACGGCTTAAGAAACATCCCAGGTTTTTAACGCCGGTATGCCTATGAAGTCGAACTCGAGTCAACTTCTCAGGCATGCCGGCGGTAAAGACTGACATGGCCTCTGTGTGTTGCCGGCGACTTCTGTTCTCACATCGGAACGGTATCGCAGGCAGTACCGGTAGCCGTGTCGGAGTCATGTCGCAGGTGGCTCGGCGGTATAAGGCTTTACCAATCATAAGTAACGTTCGTCCCAGAAACCCTTGCGCTAAAAGCTTGTACCCATTCCCCTCACAGTTTAAAGTGGGAAGTTTACAAGCTTCTTTACAGGTACTTAACATTTTTGTTTACATTGTTAGTTATGGTGTGGTCGTTTGAATTGAGCCACTTAAATAAATATTTTATTAATCACCGGTACCTATAAGTTTGTCGTGGCCATTCTCCAAGTTGTATTTAAGAACTACTTGATTAACCTTACAGTGCACGAAGTGAACTCCCAATCACTTTTTAAACATTTGTTGATCAAACTCAAAAGAAAATGTTCTCTTGCCAAACTTCATTGTATTCCGTACCACACGCCTACTTCTTCAGTTGACACCTCTGAACTTTAAAGCGATTTATGTGAGTATATTAAGACTACAAGACATAAGAACTCAGGACATTTCCTTTTAGCAGGCTCACTGTGCTGTTCAATTTGTAGTTGGGGCCATGAATCACAATTTTTTTATTATTTGCTTGTCAATAATTATGTCACAAATTAAAATTTTGCTCATGCTCGGGAAACAGCTTTTAGTTGTGATTTTAATGTAATATCAACTTCAATTCGATTCATTAGTGACTCTTGAGCACTTGGGCTATCTCTACGCTTCATATTAATCAATATTAGAGAAATTTTAATATTGTAAATTACCAGTTTTCTTATTTTATCCTCCTCTTCATGTTGTTCCTGTGCCACTATTAGTTTTTCACGGTTTTCTGGTTCTCCACTGCTCTCATCTTCAGATGAATCCAAATCTTTACCAGTGATGATACTTTCAAGCTGCCTTTTTGATAGTAACTGCAGCTGTTCTGAGCAAAGATTCTTTACTTCCTTGAAGCTTAGCTTCTGAGAGCAATAAAAAATATTTCATAAAACAAGGATTTAACACGGAAAAACTAGAACTTCTCTGGCCCCCTTGTTAGCCTTTTATTGGCCCCTTAAAAGAGAAAAAAGGAAGGCAAGAAAAGTGAAAGAAGAGTGGGGGCAGCAAATCGAGAAGTAAAAGTCAAGATTTGAAATTTGGGTTTCTGCCCATGCCCAAACTTCAGAAACTGATATTTTGCATCTCAAACAGAAGGCCACTAAGTGCCCGAGCCGAAAAGTGCATGAGTCACACTGTCAATTGCTTGTGTTAGTTTTAGCCAGACAGTGACGAGAAAACTAAACTGCAAAATTCCGGGGGGCAAATGGATTAAGTTTCAGATTCACTGGAGAAAACATGTAATAAGACAAACACTGCTCTAGCCTTCTTCTCTTCTTCTTCCGAGAACCCTACATCCTTCAAAAATGAAGATTCTTGTGAGGGGTCTTTAAAAGTAAATAAATAAATGAATATCCACTAACATATATAATATTATTATACTATAATAAATTATCTTTTCACAGGTCTTATGGGGGTTACACTGTATGTTTGAGGGTGCCTTTGTGGATGGCATCCTTAAAACAAAAGCCACAGATCATTCACTGACAACGTATCATACTGTTAGCCTCAAATTGCTCACATGTGGTTTCTAGACTAGGTCAGCCTCAAATTTCCCCCACTGGGATTTGCTGTTTAAGGGGGATCTCTAATTCAACCACTAAGGGGCAATCATGGTTAGAGATGCCAGGTACAATGTCTATCTGGCAGATTCTACATGTACAGATGTAGTTGGGTTGTTTGTACACCTAACAACTACATTTCCTCTAGTCAGTTCTTCAATTCCACCATTTGCCTGTGTAGCTAGCTACCGGTAATCATAAGAAAAGAAACAAAAATAATTTATATCTTTTACAAGGTACATATATGTACAGTTCAAGTACCTTCAAAATGTCTGGCATCATCTCTTTCACTTCCTTCTTTGAGATGATTGTAAAGAGCTGTTCATGAAGTTCTGCTTTGTCATCAAGAAACTCTGTTAGAGGTGTGATGCTTTCACTGTCACTCTTGTTTCTTTTACTTTCTGTTTTGGTGCTGTCACTTTCAATGTCCTGTGATGAACTGGATGACTTAAACTTTTTGCTTTTCCCAGACTTACTCCTGTAAGATAAATGGATGGATTGGTCAATAATACATTGAACAATGAGAAAATATTATTTTCAATTATCTGGTTAAACCAGTATTTAAACTTTAAGTGTATAGATTTTTCTCTAGGGTTCCAACACTAATCATAGTTAATAGAGTGGAATGGTTATGAAGCCTGAGTTACAGTAAACACCTGCTAATAAGAAACAGTGGATTAAGAAGCTCCTGGCAAAAATTGCCAATAAGTACCCCAAACCACAAGAACCTATTTTACAGGACATTAGACTTCAAAAAAGTAGGTTCTTATTAGCAGGTGTTTACTGTTTACATATGTTTTTGTGGACCTGGAGGTGTACAAGTTACATTCAATGGCAGTGACCTATCATTTTGATCTTATCGACCAATAAAGGGAGCACATTAATTTATTCAGTCACAATTTGTGAACATGCTGGAAAATAATTTTCCAATGGGGGGGGAGGGCTTCCAAAAACTAAAATCGACATAGCTTACATGTACACCAGTCTGCAGAGTATATGGCAGAAATAGACGAGATCTCATGCATGCAGAACCTGCAATACGATTTTTTATGCCAGAATACGGGTGCATGCCCATAGAGAGGCTAATTATTAAAAGGATGCGAGATTTACATGTTAAGCACATTTCCAGCTGTTTTAGATGACCTAAATTTCAAATTTCAAACTAGTATGTTCATGCTATACCATTCAGTTCACTCAAAAGAAAGGCTGCAAACAAGATTACAGACAAATTGCCAGTCCATTCATTCGTTTATAACCTCACCATACTGATGAGAAAGCAAAAGTAAAAGCAAGGGATGTGGAAAGTGGTAGCCTGCGTAGCTTGGGAGAACCGAGAGGTTAGGACAGATTTGGCAAAAAATATCATGGCTACGCCCCTGAAAGTCAGGTGCAAAACTCTTTGTAGGCCCAACGCTGCTGCGTACAATGTTACGATTTTGTTGTGCGCAAAAAGCTTTTTTAAAAAAAGCTCGCGCGTGCACTTGCCATACTCCGCATACTGGCATGTATGTGCAATATGATATGGAAGGAGATAATGCAATGTGTTTCAACCAAATGTGATCAGCACTGCAGATGGAAATGGAAAATATAGACCTTTGTATTATATAACGCGCAAACATCGAGTGCCCAACACGAATTATTAAATAAGGCTGTGCTCTCAGTCATCATTACCAAGCTCATTTGCTATTAAACTGCATAAAAAAATCATTATAAGCTTAATGTTTAGAAAAAAAAAACCTGTGTTTGTGCTTTCTCTTCTTTGATTTCTTCTTCTTTTCAGTAATTTGCGTCGAAGAGTCAGGAGAAACAGCTTTCTTGTCCATGAATAAGCTATAAATTTAAGCTTAAAAACTATAATACGCTCGTTTAAAAAGTGTGGATGCCATGTTTTTCTCAATTGCAGACAATTAAAATTCGCATATTTGAAGTAAATACTTACTCCTTAGTAGCCGCTCCTTCAAATAAAGCAGTATGGCGGACTGAATGGCGATAAATATGAATATACGATACGCTCTTTTTTAACAAGCAAATTAATACAAGATCACGGAGAATCATGTAATTTTGTTGTGTGTTTGTTTGTTTTTTGAATTTCGTTTTGTGTATGCCAATTTATCATTTGTCCGTATCTGAAACAAATCTTGTCCCCATAGGCTGGGACACAACATCAAGAAATCCCACGGAAACGCGTGCAGGATATGACCATAATGTTTTAATACGTAAAAAGTACAAGTATTTAAGGTTATGTTGCTCACTGAGTTAAGCCTCACACGTACACGTACAGTGTTTAATCAAAGGTTAGACATCACCGTAATAATTTGTCATAAAAGGTATTTTTTTAAATTCTATAGCGACTATGTTACATTATACTATTTCGATCAGTTAAGCCTATTAGAATTAGCTAGTGATTCCTGGAAACTGGTACAATTAGTGAATTCAGATGTATGATGACAGGTAGCAAAACCATTTTGTTACCTGACCTTGTCACAAAGTGGAAAATCAAGTTGTTACATTTGAACTAATCGCTATTTTCCCTTCAGTTACAGGTCCAGAGTCATTGTTGCATTGGCAGAAGAGAGCAGCATTTATATTCCTCTGAATACAAAATCAAATATAATACTTAATTTGTGAACCTTTTAAGCCAATCACCATTTAAAGGAGAAATGAAGTCATTTCAGATAACTAGGTTGTTATGTACAAAGCAATCTACAGGAATGTCTAAGAGTCTTCATCATTCTTTTTTGCGCTGGCAAGAACATGGAAGTTCTGTATCTTCTGCAGCTCATCGACTTTTAGGGAGACGTGTGTGGTACAGCCATCATTTGGGTAGATCATATTACAAAGGCTCCTGGGGATACCAACATTTATCTTTCCGAGGATTTCATACAAGTAAACCAAGATTTGCTGCCCCATTGGCACCACTTGCTGCTTTTCTTGTTAAATTAGCTGGCCCACTATCCAAAGGGATCAAACTGGCTGCTATTGTAGGTGGAAGGTAGGGTTTTACTTTTGATGAACAGTATTTCAATCCCCATCCATACAGCTGCCTCACTACTATTATGATCACTTTGATTATGATCCAGCTCATAAAAATACTTTTGCATGTACATTTTCTTATAAGAAAACCCACTGAATGAGGACATTCATCTTGTTGATAAAGCCCATCACTTCATGGTAATAGAGCACATTTTTCTTTTTAAAGGGCAGACTGGGAGTGTATGTAAAGAGTTTTAGTGTTGAATTCTCACATCTAAAAAATGTTGTAATTTCCTCAGCAAACAACATCAGCAATGTAATAGCCTCTCTACAAGAAAAGAATCCAGCTACATGTGAAGTAAATTTAGTTACAAATTGGACATGCGCCCTGCTAACATGACTACCACATCAACCCACCTATTTCATAGTCCTTCAAGTATTGTTTATAGGTGTGATTGCCAGCCAAAATAAATTTGTTCTTCTACATTCCCATGGGGGAAAGGGAACTAGGGAGTCCAAATTGCCACCTCCCATACTTTGCGTTGCTGGGTTCTGCCCATTTCTTCTTGGCTTTTTCCCTTTAGGCCTTCTCTGACTGCAAAATATTGAGCATTGCTGAATAATTTCCCCATATTTTTCCTGCTTCCCCTTTTTAAGAACTCCCACCTCTCACCTTTTCCTCTCCAGCCTTCCTTACCTCTCCTACCCTTGGGCCTGAATTCTCCTAGATATCATCCCCTAGTCCTCCCCCTTATTTTTGCAAATCTGGACCCTCTCGAATGCCTTTCTGGTATACGGTTAGTAGTAATGACATTCAAAATACTGAGATTGTACAAACAAATACCTCATTTCACATGAAAACACTTAAGATATTGATTAACCATTTTTCAGGACTTTTCGCAAAAATTGGAAAAACTTATCAGCCAAAAACCGTCTGCAGTTGTCTAAGGGGGTCACAGTTTTCATCGGAGGTTTTGGAGGAGCTTGTGTTGGATTTTACTTCTTTCACTTAGAAGAATCACCTGTGACACACAGGACAAGATTTATGCCAATCTCTCACAAGCAAATGGTAGAACTGACTGAAAAGGAGTATAAGAATGTATTGGAAGCATTTGCTGAACACATTCTGCCACCAAACCATCCCGATCATGTGAGAGTTTTTAGGGTTGCGACAAGATTATTGTTGGCTAATCTTGGTGAGGAGATGAACAATTTATCTTGGCAAGTCAATGTGGTGGAAAGTGATGAAATTAATGCATTTGTTTTACCAGTAAGTAGCTACAATATTGCTTTTTGCTTTTTGGTTTTGTTTGTCTGAAATCTGGTCCAAACCTCATCAAGACTTCTTTCAAAATTCTAAACATTATTAGGCAAATATTGTGAAGTTGTAGTGTGAAGTACTACCCCCTGATGTACTGTATAAAATTTTAAAAAATTGTTAAGAACAAGAAATGATACAAAAGTGCTGTCAAGTACAGGTATTTTCATAATATTTTAGTCTAATGAGAGTGGCACAGTATGATTGTATGATTTTTATTATAGTAATCAGGTTAATAAGTTAGTGAAAGTTCTAAGTTGACTTTTTAATTGTTGTATCTGCAGAATGGCCAGATTTTTATGTTCACTGGAATGCTGAAGCTTTTACACAATGATAATACTCTAGCAACTGTACTTGGGCACGAGATATCGCATGCTATTTTGCAACATGGTGTAAGTGTTAACTAAAAATAATGTCAGGGGATGAATTTTAGACCCAATGTTATTTAATAAACATAATGATATAATGGCCAAAATATTTTTCATGACCCTACAGAATTTTCACTGGCAATTTTCTGTCTAGACATGGTCTGCTAATATTTGAAATACATGTAGTATACAAGCAAAGCGACTGCATGCCTCCCTTAAGTGACTACTCATCTCACAGTCAAATCACTACAGTAAAACCCTTTCATAAACGGCCTTCATGCAACCAATTGTACGTGTAGCACGTCTGCTACCACCCACTTTTTTCAATTATTGTAGTTTTAGATTTTTCCATTGTTGTTATCCTCCTGTAAGCGAACACTTGAAGCATTGTTTGTTCTCTATGTTCACTGTATTTACTAGACCTCACTTGGTGGTGGTGGCAGGGGAGTGGGGGGGAGGAGGGTTGGGGTGAAGAACTTTTATAAGTGACATCATTTGCATATACATGTACACGTACTGTAGCCTCCCTGTGGGTTGATTCTTGTAAACAGCCACATATTAAATCTTTGCATTTTGGTTGGTCAACCATTGGAGGTTTGACTGTAATTTCATATTGTGCAACAATCCTGAGAGACTTCCAGCAGTCAACATTGATGGTTAAACAGCAAGGGTTTGCTCTGTCAAATGTAATACAAGATCAGGGGCTTATTTAGGAAGAGGGGTTTAGAAAAGAGGAATTAGCTTTGCATGCTTTGGGAATAAAATTATGTATAACCTAGTGATCAGGTGTCCTTCTTCCCTTTTTGTTTGGGAGACAAAACCAAAAAATAACACTTGATAGTATTATTAACAGAATATGAAACATGCTCGCGCTGTTGAATTTGATTAGGCAAATTTTCCAGCTATGTTATACATGTAAGTATTCAGCGTCATTCGATCCCAGTCGTCCTCTGCAATTTCGGGTGTGACATCACCTGTCAAGCCATCCTCGGAGATCCAGGGCAGTTGTTATGTCATGAAATCTTGTGCTTGGTCCTAAGTAGCCTCGCCGCAGACATCCCACGGGGTTTGTTTGTCACGCGCTCACTTCTCCGTGGGGGAGAAATGAATGCATGACGAACGAACCCCAAAGGACGTCTGCGGGGAGGCTAGGTTCTCAGCCTCCTCTGGTCATACAGATATGGTCAAAACCTTGTCTTTTTTTCCCTAAAATCTAATTTGGAATTCATTTTGCACCAATGAAAACGGAAAATCAAAGCTTTAGCTCTTATTACTAAAGCCTGAAGTATAATATATAGTTTCCATTAAAACTGCCCTGTTTGTATTTTTTTTCTTAATACTGCAGCCAAAATAAGGCCTAAAATGCTTTTCAATACACTTGAAAATAAAACCAGACAATAAAGAAAGAAGTTCTAAGAAGAAAGAAGGAATAAAGTAGGGATCTTGACGACAATATTCACAGCGAGTTACCCATCCAGTTCCTAACCCAGCACAACAGAATAACTTGAATGCACTACTAAAACCTGAGTTTTACGAGGGTTATTGCAATATATGTATTTTAAGTAATACTTGTTGTTATTATTTCAGGCAGAGCAAGTAAGTCTTCATGGCTTTATAAACATGTTTCTCATCATCTCGCTGGCAATGCTCTGGGCTCTGTTACCAACTGATTTGATTGCTTTTGGTGCTCAGTGGTTACAGAACAGAATTCTTGTGGTAAGACTTTTTCTACAGTGGCCTGCATACATGTAGCTGGTGCTTAGATTGTTTTTGGAGAGCATGTTAAGGTGTGGAAAATGATATTGCACAACAGCACCAACGTTTATACAGGCTATCGTTGAATTGTATAGTGTGGCCATTTGATATCAGCTTTATTATTTAAAACCCCAGTTTTGCTGCTCAAGATATGATGTTTTTAACGTGTTTAACCTCAGTGGTTGGCTCATTATGACCCTTAGGGAAGTGGTTAAAATTTACATTTTTCAGCCAGGGACCAAAAGGCATGAACTGGAATAAATGGAATGGAATAATGACACATTTACAAGAAAATTCATTTTACTTTGATTTACGGTTACAGTACTGGGAAATTGTTTTGTACACTGATCAGCGTAATTTAATTGTCCTCATCAGATTCTCTTGCACCTCCCTTACTCAAGAAAATTAGAGGAAGAAGCAGATGAGGTTGGCATGACGATGGCTGCTAGGGTAAGAAGAAACCATGTAGTTACGTCTAGTAACCAGTGTGGATTTCCAGGAGAAGACTTTTTTCTAGTGTTGTTCTGCTTGTAAATAGGTTAAGCAAGGTCGTAGAGAAATACACAATTTAGCATAGAGTGACATGACATGAACTGCCCTTGAATCATGCATGAAAAGGCTAATCAAGGTTTAACACTTTCAATTATCCTACTCATACCTCAACCCTCTAAGCTACCAGTGGGAAAACTAGTCTCATGTACCTATGGTGTTGTCATCAGTTCTAATGTGCAAAGATATCATTTTAGAGATGGTATTTTACAGTTTGCCCTGTACTGATGCCAGAAGAAATCACCATGTTCTACACTTGTTTCTCCTCGCACCTTTGCGCGTGAGACGTTTTATCCCAAGAGGCGAGGAGCGAGGAGAAATGGCTGTTTTCACAGGCTACTTAAAATTGCAAATTATTAATAACTCAAGATAATGCTAGGAAATTAGTGTCTTAATTGTCCCTTATTGTCTTACCGCCATTTTGAAGTGACTGTACCTTAAATTTGACGGAAACATCTTGATATAATGCGGAAATTTTCTCCCAACACTTTTGGTTTAATGAAACATAAAAGTCTGTATTTCAGGGTATTTAACTCCAGCAAAAATTCCGTGCGACATAGTATTGAAGAGTAGTTTACTGTATTGATGTACGCGTATATTATAACAAACAGGCATGCTTTGACGTTCGTGAAAGTCCCAGATTTTGGTGGCGACTCGCAGCCGCACAGGATCAAATGGCCCAACCTGAGGCACTAAAATGGTTATCCACTCATCCTTCCCACAGTGACAGAGCTCAAAAACTTGAAACTTTACTGCCAAAGGTAAAAGTCGTTAACAACTGTAGGGATGTGTAAAAATGAATAGTTTAGTGATGTCCCATTCGTGCTTGAATTAGCACAAATTAATGGAGGGCTTATTTGAAGTCATGGTGGGGTGCTTACATATTTGAAGTGGGTTCCTCAAAAGGTCGACTTCAATTTGACAGTGTTGAGTCATAATTGACATAATTGTGCCTGTGACATTCATCGTTCAAACTGGATAAGTTTTATTTTATGTGAAATTGTCATTTGTCAATGTCCCGCTGTCAAGATTTTTTTATCACATGTATTTGTTATTCTTTGCTTTTAAACATGTTTCACCATTATTTTTTTTTTCTTCAGGCTCTAGAGGCCAGGACGAAATGCAGATGTCCACCTCTCCCAGGTAAAGTTTCAATCGTATACAATCTGTATCGTAAATATACAGTGTATATCGTATGGCACCATCAATGATATACCGCGCTCTAACAGCATAAATGTCTAAGTTGGCACTCTGCATTCCAGTTGGTTTCCAAACTATTTATTTCGGCATATTCCAGCAAGACCTTACCTCTCAAGTTAGCGTAAATAAATCATTGTTCTACATGTATAAAGTGAATGTAACTATCTTCGCAGTTAAATGAACAACCTAAGCGGTTGAAAAAGAACTTGAAAAGAATCAGAAATAACCGGAGGAGGAACTCGAAGCCCAAAAGGCTTTTTCGAATTTTAAGTGCAGATGGGCTTTCTTCACGCCAAGAGTTTTTCAAGTTGCCCCTATTCTTAAACCAGTTCTTGGTGTCTGGATATCAGATAGAACACTCCGAGGTTTTTATAATTATAGGTTTCAAATGAATCCTTGAATTGAATTGATCCTTGACGAAAAAACCCGCTATTTTTCAGTAAGTTAACTAGTATGCGTTCAAACGTCCTTTGCAGCAGTTTCTTAGTTTTCTAGAGAGAATAATGGGTCAGAGAGTGAAACACCGTGTCTAGCCCTTAGGATGTCTGAATTTCACCGATTAAACACTTGAAATTATTTGGAAGTTGGATTCCTGAGAGGTCCGCAAATTTTTATTCAATGTTGTCAACAGAGAATAATTATTAATAATAGGACATCATGCTCTCTCGGTGTGTCACCATTTGCATCATGAGGACGTGGTGGCGTCTCAAACAATCGATTCAATTGTGCGGACGTCCCAGGAATTAAGCTTCCGTTTAATTACAGCCTCTAAGAATAACTTAACTAAAATTGACATACCCCTTCATACCCTTTCTCTCTATCTTATGATTCTCTCTTACTTTTGATGAATTGTTTGATGAGTTCATGCAGTGATGTATGAATCGGGCAATTTATCGCCTTACATTTTCATTTCTTTAGGTGAAGAAACGTTTATATCCCGGGAAGATCAACTTCCGTTAAGAAGACCATCGCCACCTCCATAATGAACAAGAAATTTAGATAACAGTTAAATATAATATAATATTAGAATTATAATAGTTTGTTTTCATTAGTGAGCATGTGGGAAGCCTTGCACTTCAATATATTTTGTGTCGCAAAACTTCTGCAACCAGTAAAAAAAGGCAAATCGTGTCCTTTTCCTTACTTTATCTCTTTCTAAATACTTAGACCAAAATTAAAGCTATAGAAAATAACGCTCATAATATCATACAACCAGCGACAGGGAATATTTAAAGAGTGTTTTGTTAGCTACCACAGAACACATTTTGAAATTAGAAAAATGTCCTGCAGTTCAAATTCGTATACGTTCCCTGGTCCAAACTTCTAGTATCAATAGGTTTGGTGACAACAAATGGTTTACATGGTTCCTTCAATCTTAAACAGGAGTCGTGAATGTAATAAGTCGTCTTGAACAGTCCTTCAAAGTACTTATTGTTTTTTTCTTTCTTTCTTTCCTTGAAATTTGCTACCTTGTTACGCCAAACCATTCATTTTTTTCTGTAAAATTAGATTATTTCGCGGATCTTCGGTGTAAGAAGCTGAAAAACTCACGCGTAACCTAAAATCCTTTTTTTTTTCACTTTAGAATAAAGATAAGCGAAACAAGTTTAACAAGACGTTTCGATGTCGCCATGACATCATTATCAAGTTACAAAGAGAAAACTAAAATTGTAAAAAGGAACACTTTTGCACGTGTAAACAAAAATGTGTTAAACAAACAGTTTTGCCCGGGTGGAATGTGATTGTGTGTGTAGGCTTGATTTCTTCCTCTAAAAAAAGCACTTTTTTTCTTTATTTCAAATGCTAATCCTGTACCGCCAGTGAGACTGCAAGTCACAACCAGTGACTGTTTCCACATTTTTGCAAAGGAGGCATAAAATAATTTGATGAACCATTGCTTAGGAAGTACTGAAAATCTTTTACGACTCCATTGTGCGTTTCAGCAAATGTGTGAATTTAATGATTAAGTAACTAAGAATCACAAGTAAAGGTGTCAATGCAGTAAGTACATACATTTTATTTGGTTTGTAAGGTTGAAGAACAATTTTAACATGCCCGCGGGTAGCTACGCTAATCTAGGCGGGACATGTTTTCAGGAAATAAAAACAACTAAAAGTGACTTGAGACCTAATAAACTAAAACTGACATAATAACTAGAGACTACTGATAATTAAAATTGAACGAAGGCCTTAAAACCTTCACAACGTATGGAAGGTTTTGACTTATGGATGACAGTTTTACAGTGAAAATGACCGGCTGACTGTCGTCAGCAATGATAAGGCAAACAGTAAGCAATTCCTCTCTTTCCTGTCGCATAAAGTCTACTCGCAACATAAGTATTGTTATCCAGGACCTGAAAAGAAAAAAAGAAACAGAGACTTCAGAATCAAAATCAGAATGTTTAAACAAAAAAGCTATTGTTGCATAAATGTAATATGTTTGTTTATGTGTGGTAAGTGGTAATTAACCTTCTTGCGAGCTATTAGAGAGATTAAGGCTCACGTTTACATCGAACAGCAAAAGTCAGATTCAAGTTGGATAACACTAGCTCGAAACTTTTTATGTTTGTGTTGAAGTAGCAAACAGTAAGCGTAATTTAAAGGGAAAACTTGGTCACGTGGTAAAAATTCACGTTTGTCGTTTGGCGTAAACATGACAAAAGAGAGATTAAGATTCACGTTTACCGCAAACGGCAAACGTCAGATTCAAGTTGAGAATTTCTCAGAATGGAAAATAAGCGGATAAAAACAGTCCCGAACGATTCCTATGGTTAGAAGCAATAAAGAGTGGGGACACGGAATTAAGGGGTCACGTGGTACAAATTCACAGCTGCCGTTTGGCGTAAACGCGAATCTTAGGCTGCGTGCAAACGGGCGCAACAACTCCCAACATTGTTGCGCCAACAATGTTGGTAGTTGTTGCGTGCGTGTTGGCAGTGGTATGCAAACGGATGCAACAACTCCCAACAATGTTGGGACCTGCAGTGCATCGTGGGAAGAATACAACCCATAAGTCTTTGTAATCCATACGTAATGAGCGTGCGTGGCCCCAACAACGGATCCAACATTGTTGCGCTACGCTTCGGCGATCACGGAACAAAAGAAATTTTGGGAGTTGTTGGCTGAAAAGTTTGACCGGTTTCAAGCTTGGCGCAACAACTCCCAACAACATCCAACAACATGCAACAGGGTGTGCAAACGGACGCAACATGTAACATCCAGCAATGTTGGGAGTTGTTGGCCAGCAATGTTGCGTCCGTTTGCACGGGGCTTTAATCTCTCTAAAGACTTCTAACGTGAAAGGAGCAGAAAGGCTAAAAAGCAATAATGGAGTACAAACTCCAGAGAAAACGAACAAACTTAACTCCTTTACTTGAAACCCTCGCCTTTACAAAAAAAAGAGATCTGCTTTATTCAGGTTTTACTGTAGCTGTAGCGTGTACGATAAAATACTCATTATAAGTTAGCTGGATTCCTCTTTGCCGATAAAAATTTTCATGAAGGCTTGTGGCCTTCGTCGAGAAGGGAAGAATCAGTTGGTAGATCGTGCAATATATGAGCGAGGACTCAGGAAGCTAGCTGATGACAAAAAAAGTTTGCTTCATCTTCATGAAATTATTTTTTGTTTTTGGCGAGTTAAAAAAAACAAATTCAAACCAGTCAATTTAATTAATGAAAAGATCATAACAGATTAAAGCATCTAAGCTAATTTTAACCCTCCATACATTTTATTGAAGTCAGTCTACTCTGTCGATTGATGGTAACGATTCTGTGGAACATGTTGTAGACTGGGACGAAGTAGAGCAGCTGGCCTGAAATAAGAGAAAAAGGTCAGTGATTGATCCTCACTAAAAAGACCGCTGGAGGAAGGGAGACTTATGATAATCAGAATCCAGGAAATATACGCTACCACAACACTACTAGTTCCACAACCACTACCAATACTAGTACTACTACTACCACGACCACTACAACTACCACTGCCACACCACTACAGTACTACTACTTACTACTACTGCTGATAATGAATTCGAAGGAACATCATGTAAGTAAGTTAGTTACCAAGTTTATTTCCTCCTGTATGAAAATACGTGATTCATTGTTAGTAATGTAGCTGAATTTTTTAGTTTATTGTGTTGTTTGTTTTATACTTTGATTGTAATAGGCATGCTTTTGCAATACTATACAATGATGCGGTCATGCAAATAAAGCAATTTATTACTATACTGTTACTTCCACGACCACTACAAGTACCACTGCCACACCACCACCACCACCACTACCACTACCACTACCCACACCACTATAACTACTACTACTGCTACTTCCACTTCCACTACTACTACCACTGCCACTGCCACTACCATTACTACTACCACTACTACTAACACTACCACTGCCACGACCACCACTTTTCTACTTCTTCGTCTGCTGATGATTACGTTGACATTAACAATAATGATAATGACGATGATAATAGTTATGACAATTGATAATCATGATGATGACGGCGACGATGATAATGATGATGACATTTTTACTAGTTAATAATGCTTAAATAATAGTTGGAGTTGGGTCGAAATTGAAGTTATAATAAAAATGATGATGATGATTATAGTCATCATGAAAATATTGTTTTTTGTCTTTACAGTACTGCAATGGGCGTATCTTAGTATTTTTGTATATGGTACCAACATAGCTCACACTGCTTACAGGCACTGGCTTATAAGGGGACTTCATCCTCCTTTGCTCCACTTCTTCCCATGGGGTATTAACCAAAAATGAGTTGTTCCTGATGCAAGGGAAATATCCCTTCTTGTATCCCAGTCTATATTGCGGTGTACGTTCCAATAGCTGTAACAAATGACGAAAAAATATATAGATATGATATAGATATCAGGATCCTTAAATAAAAGTCTTGTAGGACTGTGTTGTTACTTAAGCAAAGGAAAGGGTAGGTTTAAATTATCAAGCCTCGAAATCGTTAACTCTTACCGTGAACTATTTTGGTTGTCTTTGAACTCTTTGAAATATATTTGATAAAATTACAGTTAAATGAATTCCATTAATTTACGCAGGTACCAACTTGAAGTAAGGTTGTTCCTCTCGAAGCGAAGCGCCAAAGGCACCCGCGCGAAAGCACGGGTTATAATTTTGTTGCGCGTGCATCGTGCAGCTTGCACGTGGGTCATAGCGACCTGCAAACCAGTGTGGCCCATATTTCCATGTTTCTGGCTACCCGCAATGCATTAACGTCATCAAACAAGAAACTTGGTCGGCGTTGTTTTGACTATATTAGCGGCCGTTTTGGCGATCAAGAAATGCTTTTGTCGATTAATTTGGACGATAAAAGTGTATTACAGAACATTGAAGCAATTTGGACCAGTAGCTACAAAGAAATAAGTACAAGGTTTTTGCGATAACGTATTTCTAGTTAACTTTGTTACTAACCTGAGTTATGCAGTCCTCTGCCTGAGTAGAGAGATGGTCGGGGTAATAAACAGGGCTGTGCAATATCTCAGCCACAATTTGTTTTTCTTCTTCAGACGAGTCTAAGTCATCCTCATCGTCACAATCAAAGGGATACTAATGTATCAAAACAAAAACACAGTTTTTTTACCCGTGCTGTATTATCAGCCTGTGCTATAAACAGCTTACTTATATAGAAAGACCATTTTTAAAAGTAACTTACAACGAAGACATCAGCATTGTGATTTGTTACATTGCATTGTTGCATTGTTGTTATTAAAATTGTTTTTATTATTATTATTATTTTTATTATTATTATTATTATTATTATTATAAACTTATGCTTATAACTTTTTATTATAACTCTAAATCATAACTTTGATCTAAACAAGAATGAGTTTCAAGAAGTTGTGAAACTAAGGTACGAGTGGGAAGTTCCTGATACTAGCTGCTAGCTGATCCAGACCAGATATTTAGGCAACACAAAAACAGGGCAGAAGAGCCAGTAGGCTAGCCGATTAGAAGTAGAGCAAGCTACATTCACGCCATAACGTTTTTCAGCACGGAAGGTAGAATGGTAGTGGAATGTAAACGATACCTTAGTAGGCTTGCCGAGCTAGTTGCTACAAAGAAGGGAGAAAGCTATATGACTACCATGTCATGGATCCGGGCCGAAGTGTCATTTGCCCTGCTAAGACCAGCTTTACTTTGTTCACGAGGATCGGGAGTACTAGTAGAGTCTATTTAGAACTGTCAGATATGGATTTAGATATTGAAAACTGACTCTCGAATATTCCAAAAGACAATTGAGAACGTTATTATATTTTCCTTTTTTTAGTTAGAATACGTTTACGTTTACTTTAGAAAATAGGTTTTAAAAACAAAAATTGAAGTGATTTTTTTTTTAATTCAAATGAAATGAAATGTTTTTAACTCAAATAACTCTTTTTAATTGAAACGGAATTTTTTAATCGAAATTAGGAGTTTTTTATCGAAATAAATTGTAACTTGTACTACGTATACAAATATTATTATAAGCAGCAGTAGCAGTAGCAGTGGCAGTAGTAGTAGTAGTAGTAGTAGTAGTAATAGAAGTGGTAGTAGTAGTAGTAGTAGCAGTAGCAGTAGCAGTAGCAGTAACAGTAGCAGTAGCAGTAGCAGTAACAGTAGCACTAGCAGTAGTAGTACTAGTACTAGAACTAGTACTGGTAGGAGTAGTAGTACTAGTAGTACTAGTACTAGTACTACATGTAGTAGTGGTGTAGTAGTAGTAAACGCCTTTCTCAGTCAGTGGAAATAGCATGTGATATTTACGGATAATCTTTTATAAATTAGTTGTTTAAAGATGTCTTCACCAACTTTGATTTTCAGCAACGAAGATATATAAAAGCCAAATTGGCTTACAAACCTCGCCAACCAGCAGTCTATATAGTATTACGCCCATTGACCACCAGTCAACAGAAGCGTCGTATGGTTTGCTGTCAAGCATCTGTAATTTAATGCAATAAGGCAGGTTAACTGAAATATAACTCAACATTTAAATATGAAGGAAACTGAAATTGTATGACGACTGAAATTATTTATATTAGTGCCGACTGACCATTGGTCAACTGGGCCAATTTTTGTGTCAAAAAGAAGTTTCTTGTTGAAAGCTTTCATGGTGCGGACCGGTCACTAATTACAAAGTTATAGTTCTAAATTAGTAAGCATCGAATCCCAAATAAATATTTATTAATTAATGGTCATAACCACTGATCTTAACTAGTAAATGTAAATTCAAAAACTTTTTTTTCTCTTTTCATAAAAAACCAGTAATCAAACCGCGACATCAAGTTATCACAGTCTTAGAAATGTCTAGTGTCATTCAGTGATGATTCAAATCGATGTGTTCTCAACTCTTTCCTTCTTGTTTGATATGTAATTAAACACTGCTCTTCGTGCTTGATATGCACTTCAATTTTTTTATTGTGTGTTTGCTATGTTATCAAATACTAGTTCTCGTGTTTGATTTGCAGTTAAACATTGCTCCTTATTACTTCGGCGGAGCGAGAAGTAAAGGATTCGCGACGCTCAGGAATGTTCAAAGCTGATACTTTTGGGACAAGATTGGGCACGCAAAGTATGTAGGTTTTCGGTTAATTTATTCGGCTATTTGACGAAGTGAGAGCCGAATTGGTTCGAGACATCTCGAGATCACTTCGACTTCTTTGATTTATTCTTTAACTCATTCGAGGATGAAAGAATTATTATTTTGGCTTTCACGAGGTTTGAACCGACTCACCTGTGTGACCCTTCAGAACAGAGGAGACTCTAAGTTGAGGGATTAGCCGATTGCGCTACACTGAGACCCAAAGCAGTTCAGGATATGAAAAATAGCTATGAAATTATACACTAGTCTCGGGACAAGATTGGGTGCGCAAGTTTGTGACGTTTCGGCTTATTTCGGCTATTTCACGAAATGAGACCGGACTACTTCGAGATATCTTGAGATCACTTCGAGTTTGGTCTTTAATTTACTCGATGAATAAATAGAGGATATTACATGACCACGCAGAGACACGAAATTTCTCTTCGAGTGTTGAATAACATTTCACGAGTGAGCGCTCCTTTCGAACTGTTTTATGATGAATTTAAAGTTACAAAATGCTGCACGAAGACGTTTTGTCTTTGTTGAGTTTTACGTAGTAATATTGCATTCATACGTTGCGTGACTTTCTCAAACGTTCTCTACGTTTTTGGATTAGTCATGAATAATTAATTAGGGCATCTGTACATTTCAGCATGAGTCAGGTCAGGTTGGTATTAAACTTCCTTGTGTTAATCCGACATCCCTGATTACTAATAGTCAGTGAATAGTTATCCTCAAAACATTCGAACTTGTAACATTGAATTTTAGCCAATTTCATGCTAACGTAATTGACTCCTTGCGCATGCCTTACCTATCTTTAATCAGTACATAAGACTGCTATGCTGTTTTTGAAGCCTGATGTACGTAAGAAAAATAGAGAATTTTTTTTTCACTGTTCGTTTTGTTGGACTTCTTATTCACTGCCAGTAACCTCATATTTGACTTAGGTCTAAACGTTTAGACCCAAGTTAAATTTTGAAGAATTTGTATGGAGTCACCAGAGCATAACCGGGCTAGTATCTCAGAGATAATTTGCCCCGAAATGCTAGCTTTTGGCAAGTAAGCCTCTTGGATATTGCTCTTTTCAGAATATCCTGACAAATCCCATAATTTCACAAATTAACACCTTACCATATTGCATTTCTTACTATTCCTCCTCGTTTACAATTAATCCGTTCCACAACCACGACGCCAAAGTGTACGCTCCATAGAGTCTTGTGTTTGATTTTTATCTAAGCGCTGATGCACAGTTTTTGTTTGAAGTGATATTAACCGGCATATATCTTGTATTTGATGGCTAGATCTGTAATCGGAATTATAAAAAATTGGGCCTACCTCGGGTGCCATGTAACGTGGAGTTCCACAGATGCCTGTGGTTGTTTGTCCTTTTACTGCTTTCGCGAGCCCAAAGTCCCCTATTTTTAGGTGGCCATCTTCCTCCAATAGTAGATTTTCCAGCTTTAAATCCCTAGTCAATTAGACAAAGAACAATAAAAAATATTCTAGTTTTGTTGTTGTTGTTATTTTATAGTATGTTGTTGTTGTTGTTGTTGTTTCACAAACTATAGATTGAATTCTGCGAAAAGTCCAAAAAAGAAAACTTTTCACGTTGTAGAAAATGCCAAACCGGTAGATTTTAAAAGTATTATTGGATCGTGGTTTTGTAAAATAGGCTTTCCCGGCCGTCAGTGCAAAGCCCAGTTTTCCATTTAGTAACCAATAATTAGAAATTATTGTAATGAAATGTAAATGTAATGTATTGTAATTGTTTGTGTGTCCGAAATAACAAATAATTAAAAAAAACTTTCCACGATATGGAAAATTCCAAACCGTTATATTAAGCAGGGGAGAGTGGGGGTGTGAGCGCGAGGGGTGGAGTAAAAGAGGGAGATGTTCGGTCAATGAAGGAAGAAGTCATTTAATAAACATCGTTGATCTGCTTTTAAAATGCATCCCTTACACATATAGAACTTTAATTCACGTGATACTGTTTGTTTGCAAATTAATCATTAATTAATTGATATTTTTGAATGATTAAGTGCATCCTTAGAGTGTCGTCTCAGTATTTATGATTGATTAAATACAACACCCTGCCTTACTTACCTGTGAATAATGCCTTTGGTGTGTATGTACTCTAACCCGCAAATTATTTCGGCTGCAAAAAATCTAAAATCAAGCACTTTGTTATTGACACAATTATAATGAGAATCATAATATTGATAATTATAATATTAAAAAACAAAAACAAATTATACAAGCAACAACAGCCAGGGAGGTACCCCTCTCCTCCCATCCAGAGTATTGCAAGTGAAACTATTTCATTACCTGCAAACGTTCTCCGAAAATTTCCTTACAGCCGAGAGCTGCGTCTCAAGATTTCCGTTGCTGCAAAATTCCATTATAATACCAAGGAATCCCTGTCGAAAAAAGGAAGAAAAACAGTAGTACGATGTTCCTTACACAAACGTAACATGTGAACTACTTTTCCACGCGTAGTTTTCATTGTCATAAAAAAAAATCATTTATATCACTGCCATGTCTTGAGTTTTGGATAATTGTGTTTAAATTTTTGAGTACTTGCTGACTAGTATCATTTGACCATATCGAAGGCCCAGGTATAAAATATATTTTGGGTTTGGCGTGTTTTTTATTAGTTCTTCGCTGACCAGTTGTTGGTTCTCAGGAGGAATTTAGTTTCCTTCTTGCGTAAAAAGAAATTAACGTTTAATTACTGCCGATAGATCTTTTTAGCTTTTTAGCTTGACTAAACCTATATATTATATCGAAATTGGTCTGTTGCGCCATTTTTGTAAGCACACAGCAGGCCATGATGATTAAGCCAAAATGAAGCTTTTTAAGCAGAAGAAACGATGACAAGCGTTGCATAATAAGCATGGTGAGTCATGGTCCTGTCCAAGTACGTCGCCTACCGTGATGATTAGATTTAGAGTCTCCTCTCGAAAAAGCGCTCCTCTTCGAATGTGTTTTTGTTATTAAGTGCCCCCGTTCTGCTAAGCGCCCCCATCGTAATATTAGGGAACGTATCAACTGAGGTTCATATTACTTTAATTACTCAGAAAACGAACGGTAATGCCACCTTACAAGAACAGTGGTCCTCGTCTGAGTTTTTCACTTTAACTGAACATTCACAATATATTTTTGTTACTGTTACAGTTTCTGTTATTGCCTCTTTTAATGAAAGTAATATTAAAGTTTTGTTTTGACAAGTCGGTTGTTTCTCAACGAAGAAATAAGCGTCCTGTGCTGATTAAGCGCCCTGTCTCAAATAAGCGATACCTTGAGGTACCAAAGGTAAATAAGCCCCCCGGGCGCTAAATCGAATCATTACCGTTCGGTAAGTTTGTGAATAAGAGGGATGTGAGGGGGTAGTGAAATATAAAAAAAACATGGGGACTGGAATATAACTTTTTTGGTTGTTTTTGTAAGGAAATTACAACAAAAATGAAGAATTTATCCCAGGATTAGTGCTTAGTCAGACTTCGAACAGGAGCAAGGTGTCATCCTTTAATCGTATCATAACAATTTATCCATACCTTTACGCAAATCAAACCACAGATGTTTGTCACGAATCCTGTTCCTCGACATTGGGCAAGCATTGCTACTTCTTTTTTACCCTCCTTTCTTTTCACTAGTTTCATGGCGTAATCTTCAGAAGAGTTACGGTTGGCAACCTGGAAAACCTAAGCAATGATACATATCTTTTAAAAGTGAGTGATCCTAAGATAGCTTTTGTTTCCACAAGGGTACGTAGAGATTCCCGTTTGAAATGTTTTGAGAGTAGCAATCGGTAAACAACCTAATGTGAAAACATTGACTCTGTTATTACTGTCTCGTAAAAATAACCCAGAGTAGATGAATTTTGCTGGCTGGCCTAAGCAGGCCATCTTCCATTTTAACAGGCTTTTGTTTTGATTTAGCATATAACCGATGAAATTCTCTCGATTTTTTTTATGTCAGATCTGAGGCTTGCGCATGGATATTAGGGACCTTACGATCCGACAACGGCGGCGTCCATGAAAACGTCGCGGTAAAATAGACTTCACATGCTTTCACTTTTTTTGCGATTATTCCAAGGGGACCAGTTACTTAAAAGAAGGGAATCTGGGTTGGAGCTGAAGCCGTCGCCGTTCCCAAGTAAAAAGTAAACTGAAAATTTGGTCATTTCACGTCGTAATTATGCAGAGACTGCAAAGAAATGTACAAAAAAGCGTGATGCACGTGCAGAGTTGTTGTTCTGCTCATTAAACCTATTGCTTTTTGGCGTTCCCGTTGCCGTCGCTGTCGTACGTTTGTAAGGTCTACGGACCTTAAGCAACGACGATGACGGCACAATGAACTAGAAAGCGCAAATTAAAAAAGCAATAGGATTAGACAAGAGGGTATGGATCAATTTAGGTCTCTGGAAAACTACCAATGACCTACCCCTCCCCTAAGCCAACATTAACATTTACTTCTCGTTTAAGGCAAAATGTTGATTTAGGGGAGGAGTAGGTGGGCAGTTTCCCGGAAACCTAAATTGATCGTATAATGAGAAAGAGAGGGAATTTGAGGGCGTTGGCCAGGATATTTGAATTTCATTAAAGTTATTTTTAGAGGTTGTAATTAATCGGAGGTCTAATTCCTGAGACGTTCGCACATTTTAATCAAGTTCAGATATCAAGTCCTTCTTGGTTTAGATTCACTTGACCAAAGAAAACTTTACTCATGTCTTTAACGTCGTTGCTCGACCACGACTCGAAACTGATAGACGATTTCACGTTTTGGTAAAGACATTAACGTGAGACAACTATTTGCTAGTTCTTACAATTACACGATATCCGACACTGCCGTGAACGTACTATGTAATAACTGGGCAAGCATTGCTACTTCTCGTAGCAACGTCTAGTATTAAAAATGTATTTCTTTATTTTTTTTTCGTTTTTTTACTTGTCAAATAAGGTTACAATATTGCAATTTTCTTACCTTGCCAAAACCGCCTTGACCTAGAAAGTTGACATTAAAAAAGTCATCAATTCCGTTTGCCCACCAGACATTATCTGTGTGCAGGCGTTTAACTGGAGGCTCAGCCTTCTTATCTCCCGAGATTTTCCTCTTCCTTCCAGTCTGTAAAATTCAAAGTTCGTGATGTTACGTTACTGTTACTGAGAGTTTTCTGTTAGTGACTTTTAGAAATTGGTATTTAAATAAAGGCCGGAAATCAAAGGAAGTTTTGGATTCTAGATTCCACGTCTTGGATTCTGGATTTCTTGAGCTGTATTTTGGATTCCAAATCCCAGCATCCCAAAAAATATCTTAAAGGAAAATTCCCAGATTCCAGGTTCTTTCTTAACTCCTCCAAGTCGATATGAGAAAGAAGGCATCTAAGTATCGGGCGACCTTGCTGTCCAAAGAAAACAGTTTTAATGGAATTCACAGTTTAAGGATGTACGTATTACCTCCATTCGTCGGATCTCTCTCATTCGCAATGCAAAATCTCTCCACGTACGCTGGATGAGACTTGCCGCACTCTGTTTAGATAGAAAAAACATATTTCCTTTCTTTTCTTTTGTTTTTTTAGGTTTCATGGTTTTTTTTGGATATATGACTTTTTTAGTGGATGGTTTGTCATTAACTTACATTTACCTTATTAATTGTGAAATGAAGGCAAGGAACACACACATTTTACGTAAAAAAAAGTTAGTAAACGCAATATAGATGCATTATTCAGCCGCTTTTATTTCTAGAAGAATGATGTATGCTGAAATAGCCTAAAACACAAATTCCAACGGGAGGTAAAAAAATTACTTAACTTTAAGGGTGCATTACTTAATTGTTATTTCCAAAAAGTGAGGAACAAATGAAAAATAAAAAAATGAATAAATGAAAAGATCACTTCCAATACCTCATTTCGTTTGATCTCCGTTCGGCGAAGGAACGTCTTCCAAACGCGTTGAATGATGCCTGCCGCTTGCTGTTTAAAGAGAAAACAATTATTCAGTCAAAAATGAGAACTGTGCATGAAACATCACTTTTATCTCTTTTGTCATTATTTTTATTTTCGTTCACTACATCTCTTCGTTAAAAGTCTCTCAGTTGGGATACAAATTTGCTGCATGTGCCCTGTATCACACTAATAAACGGTTAAGGTATTTAAAATAATGAAACTTTAAAAATAAAATGTGATTGGTGGAGGAATGCGATAGACGACAACTTTGTCTTTCGTCTATCGTATTCCTCCACCACTCCACCGGAACTTTTTCTCTACTGCTACTTCTACTGAAGATAATGATAATAACAATAATGATAATGACGATGATGATGATGATGATGATGATGATGATGATGATGATGATGATGACGATTATGATTATCATTATTGATATCTCACACCAGTAGTTGTATCGGTGGTCACGTATCCCTAGGTCATCAAGCTATTTCCTTTAGCCATATAGTGGATGGTTTGTCATTTCCTTCTTGCGAAATGAAGGCAACTGACGAAAACGCACAAGTTTGAAAGGAAGAAGTCTTGTAATAAGCGTATTACGGATGCACTTATCAGATTACATTTCTAAAACAAATTTTAGGATGGAATATTTCTAATTAAAAACATAAATTCCGCTCGGAGGGAGAAGATTTAGTAAACTTTAGGGATACATTACTTCTAGTTTATATTTCCAAAAAAATGAGGAAAAAATGCAAAAGTGAATATATAAATGAAAAGTTCACTTTCAATACCTGCTTTCGTTGGGTCTCCTTTCGGCGAATGAACGTCCTCCAAACGCGTTGAATGATGCCTGCCGCTTGCTGTTTAAAAAGAAAATATTTATTCAGTCAGAAAAGAGAACTGTGCATGAAACATCACTTTTCTCTTTATTTTTATTATTTCTATTTTCATTCATTACCTTTCTTCGTTGCATGTCTCTCATTTGCGATATACATTTACGCCACGTGCGCTGTATCACACTAACAGCACTCTGTGTTTATGTATCTTGGAAATGTATGTTTGGAAATTGATATTTGTTATTAGATTATTCCTATTACATTCCTGTAAAAAGAAGGCCAACGAAAGTACAAATTTTGGAGGAAAACGGTTAGGAAACTTATTATGGAGACACTAATCATGACAGATTTTCTGTTCTAAAATAATACAAATATGAAATAAAAACTATGAAATATTTCCAAAAAACAAATTTCGGCGGGAGGAAGACGACAAGGAAACTTTAGGAATGTATTACTCAAAACATGCTCTATTTCTATTTCAAAAAAGTGAAAAATAAATGAAAAATAAGAAAAAAATGAATAAATGAAAGATTACTTTTAATACCTCATTTCGTTTGATCTCCTTTCGGCGAAGGAACGTCTTCCAAACGCGTTGAATGATGCCTGTCGCTTGCTGTTTAAAGAGAAAACAATCATTCAGTCAAAAATGAGAACGGTGTATGAAACATCACTTTTATCTTTTTTGTCATTATTTTTATTTTCATTCATTACCTCTCTTCGTTGAAAGTCTCTTAGTTGCGATATAAATTTGCTCCATGTGCCCTGTATCACACTAATAAACGGTTAAGTGTTTAAAATAATAAAAATATATAAATAAAATGTGATTGGTGGAGGAATGCGATAGACGACAACTTTGTCTTTCGTCTATTGTCTTCCTCCACCAATGTTATTTTATTTTTATTTTTGTATTATTTTAAATACTTTAACCGTTTATTTTATTCTCACTTAGCTTGAAGACTAGTTTTGTCTAGTCAAAATATTGGGCAAATAAATTTGTAACCTCAGCCTTCCCTTCAATTTTCAATAAATGAAAAGATCATTTCAAATACCTCCTTTCTCTGGATGTTCCTTCGTTGAAGGAACGTTCTCCAGGCATGCTGGATTAGTCCCGCCGATTGCTGTTTAAAGAAAACACATCAGTTTCAATCACAATTGATAACAGTATACGAAAAGTCAATTTTAGCTTTATTTTAAAAAACTATGATAATTATACTACCTCTCTTCGTCTAATGTTTCTCAGTCGCGATATAAATTTTCGCCATTTGCACTGGATAACACATGGAAAGTCATTGCCCGCGTTTTGTGAAATGATGGAAAGGAAAACAGAAATTTGGCCGAGAAGGAGATTAATCTTAAGTGATGCGTTACTCAGCTTCTATTTCCAGAACAAAATAAAACAGCAAAATGCAGACTAAAAAGTGAATGAATAAATAAAATTATCATTTCTTCCGGTACTTTTTCTCTACTGCTACTTCTACTGAAGATAATGATAATAACGATGATAATTATGATGATGATTATCATTAATTCATATCTCACACCACTAGTTGTATCGGTGGTCACGTATCCCTAGGTCATCAAGCTATTTCCTATAGTCATATAGTGGATGGTTTGCCATTTCCTTCTTGTGAAATGAAGGCAAGTGACGAAAACGTACAAATTTGAGAGCAAGAAGTCTTGTAATCAGCGTATTACGGATGCACTTATATCAGAATCCATTTCTAAAACAAATTTTAGTATAAAATATTTCTAATTAAAAACATAAATTCCGATCGGAGGGAGACGATTTGGTAAACTTTGGGGATACATTTCTTATATTTTATATTTCCAAAAAAATGAGGAAAAAATGCAAAAGTAAATAAATAAATAAATGAAAAGATCACCTTCAATACCTGCTTTCGTTGGGTCTCCTTTCGGCGAAGGAATGTCTTCCAAACGCGTTGAATGAGGCCTGCCGCTTGCTGTTTAAAAAGAAGGTCAACGATTAATTCTATTACCTTCCTGTAAAAGGAAGGCCAACGAAAATACAAACTTTGGAGGAAGACGGTTAGGGAACTTATTGTAGAGACACTAATCAGATTTTTCTGTTATAAAATAATACAAGTAAACTTTAGGAATGTATTACTCATGCTCTGTTTCTATTTCAAAAAAGTGAAAAATAAATGAAAAATAAAAAAAATGAATAAATGAAAAGATCACTTCCAATACCTCATTTCGTTTGATCTCCTTTCGGCGAAGGAACGTCTTCCAAACGCGTTGAATGATGCCTGCTGCTTGCTGTTTAAAAAGAAAACAATTATTCAGTCAGAAATGAGAACTGTGCATGAAACATCAGTTTTCTCTTTATTGTTATTATTTTTATTTACATTCATTACTCTTTCTTCGTTGAATGTCTCTCACTAATTTGATACATTTATGCCACGTGCGCTGTATCATACTAACAGCACTGTGTGTTTATGTATCTTGGAAATATATGTTTGGAAAGTCACTCTTTTATCTTCATATTTGTTACTAGATTATTTCTATTACCTTCCTGTAAAAAGAAGGCCGACGAAAATACAAATTTTGGAGGAAGACGGTTAGGAAACTTATTATGGAGACAATAAACAGATTTTTCTGTTCTAAAATAATACAAATATGAAATAGAAACTATGAAATATTTCGAAAACTGACAAATTTCGGCGGGAGGAAGAAGTCAAGTAAACTATAGGAATGTATTACTCATGCTCTATTTCTATTTCAAAAAAGTGAAAAATAAATGAAAAATAAAAAACTTTTATCTCTATTACGATTATTTCTATTACCTTCCTGTAAAAGGAAGGCCAACGAAAATACAAATTTTGGAGGAAGAAGGTTAGGAAACTTATTATGGAGACACTAATCAGATTTTTCTGTTCTAAAATAGTACAAATATGAAATAAAAACTATGAAATATTTCCAAAACGCAAATTTCGGCGGGAGGAAGAAGACAAGTAAACTTTAGGAATGTATTACTCACGCTCTATTTCTATTTCAAAAAAGTGAAAAATAAAAAAAAAGGAATAAATGAAAAGATCATTTCCAATACCTCCTTTTGTTGGATGATCTTTCGTTGAAAGAACACCCTCCAGGCACACTGGATTAGGCTTGCCGCTTGCTGTTCAAAGAGAAAACATATTTCAATCGAAATTGATAACCGTGTACGAAAATTCACTATTATTTTTTTTTATTATATTACCTTTCTTCGAGTACTGTTTCTCAGTCGCAATATAAATTTTCGCCAAGTGCGCTGTATAACACACGCCGCCCTCTGTTGAGAGAGAAAACATACATTAATTAAAAAAAAAATTGCACAATGTATATGGAAAGTAGTTACCCGCTTTTTGTGAAATGATAGAAAGGAAAACAGTAATTTGTGAGAGAAGAAGGTTGAACTAGAGGGATTCATTACTCAGCTTCTATCACTAAATAAAAGTGAATGAATATGCAAATAAATGAATAAATAAATAAAACAATAATAATGATGATAATGATGATGATGATGATGACGATGATGATGTATGTAATCTTAGTGTTCAAATCACATCCCGCAACCTTCGTAATTGAGAACCCGTCGGAGGATTCGTGCTGTTCCAAAGAAGAAAGTCCTTTGATTCCGAGCCACATCAAGAGTCACCCCTATGCTTTCAAGATGGCCAAATAATCCTTTTGGGATTGTCCTAAGAGCCCCGACAACAATAGGCACAACTCTCGTTTTCACAGTTTTCTCAATTCTATCGCTCGGTCTTGATATTTGTCAATTTTCTCTTTCTTCTTCAGTATGCCCCTAGCATCCCCTGGATCATCTACGTACTATTATTGTTATTATTATTATTATTTGATGCGTTTCCTTAATTTTTCCGATTTTTCCTTTTGCAAGCATCATCATCATCATTATTATTATTATTATTATTAGTATTATCATTATTATTCAGTCTCTTTTACTTAGCATGTTGCTATATTAAAATTGTGTTAGTGACGGTGGAATAAATTAGACAGTGGGGGAAAAGTATTTAAATATTCGTAGGTAGCTCGAAATAGTCGTCAACAGTGAAATGAAATGAAGTGAAAAACCACAATTCGGAAGGTTCTCAGTTTAGTCTCCTTTATCGCCAGTGCAGGAGCTTTGACGGGAAGAAGTTTCAAAACAACTACAAATACTATTCTTACTTGGGCCTTTTGATCTTCAGCTTTACATAATTTCTTGTTATCTTGATTTGTGCTACAAAGCAAAAATAATACTGCATTAGTCGCGGTTGCGAATTTTCAAGTTTTTCTTGTTTCTAACTTTGCAGTTTGAAGCCTTTCATTCTTTTCTTCTTATTTCATGTTTGTTTGTATTTTTGTCGCTGCGATTTTCTCTTGCAAACAATATGTTATTTGAACTCGTTTTTTTAGCCGAGTGGCGTGGCAAAAGAAGCACGCCATTCACCACGCCAGTAAGTGAGGCAGAGGTTTAAAAAATTTGGTTTTGTAGCATTCTTGTTTGTATATTTGTTGCATTGGTGCCTACCTCTCACACTCTTTATATCCCAAAATACTTCTTACAGTGTTTTGTATGGCTATAAAACCTAACCAAAAGATCGGTACACCCATTTATACCAATGGCTGAATCTCAACTAACAAATTACGTCACAAACGCTACTCTTGAAGTATTCTAATTCCGCGCGCGCTAGCTGAACGCGAGATTAATGCAAACGATATAATTTATCTAACCTGGTTTTTAACCTTGAACTCTATATTAGTTCTGCCAATAAAGTGGTTTCTGCAAAGGGTGGACCGTACAACAACCATTTGAAATGACCCATCCAAAATGAACACGTTATATAAGGAACAGTAACGCTCGGCATTTTTCCTCGGCGGTAGTACGCCTACGTTCCTGTGATTTCTTTCATACTTTATTCTTTCTTAGATATTTTTGGGGTATCCAACATGCCTGATTAGCAAAATTAATAGGATTTTGGACCACAATTAGAAAGAAGGACTAAGTAAGAAACGGCCATTCTCGTTCACTTATCGTTAATGGTATCTTGTACCTTACTGGTCCACCTCACCTTAGAACAGGCAGCCCTCTCACATATAACTGAGTAGCTGACACACAAGAAGTTTGTGTTAGTTTTGTAACAGTTGCTATCCGTTGAGGTAAACAATGTCCTCGTGGCTTGTACTTGTTTTGGCCTTAACTGCCTGATGTGGTCTACAGCGCACCGCTCAGTATCCTCATGTCTCAGCGCCATCAAAATGTCAGTTTTGCAAGGGCGATGCGTCTAGGAATTAAATTGATCATGAGCGGTTATGGGATAAAAGAAATAGATGTGGCCACAGACACTGCTTGTGGTTTTGCTTGTAACAATGAAGTGAACTGCCTTTCTTACAACTCTGAAATCGCACCTGACCAAACAGGCAGATTCAGGTGTCAATTGAGTGATTCCGATAGATTTGCTGGTTTTGATAACTTTACAGCCAGATACCGTTTTCAAGTACACAGGAATACAGGTAACTAATGTCGCGTTACTGAACTTGAGATCAAGCCCAATTTTAGTAGTTCTCATACAGTCTCTTTAGCGTGGTCACGCTAAAATTGGGCCTGATGCAAAGTCTGACACGCTTGTGCTTGCTGCGGTCAAATTTGAGCGCAGTGCTGATTTGCTGCTGGAACAATGTCGCAGGATCAGATTGGCTGTTGGAATCACCGGAAGTATAAAGCTCTTATTCCTTGCCTGGCTGAATTGCGCGGCTGTAGAACTCGAAAATCTTCGCGAATGATACGCCGTAAGAAATAAACAAACCAGAAAAACTGTTGTCTTCGCTCGTTGCCTGTTTGCTGTTTGTTAATTTCGCTTATTCAATTTAGCGAGCTTTTCAGACCTGCAGTAAAACAGCAACACACCAGAACTACAAAGTGTGTTTGTAATATTGATTAACATTTTGTTTATAGGTCACTTGAACATGCAGTTTTAGTATTGTTGTTTCGTCTACCCAATATTTAATATTTAACTGGATTTATTTAAAAAAATGTATTTTCTTAGACGATTTTTTATAGTAAATTCCAAACAGTGTACTTACGGGACTAAATATTAAATGCACTTGACTAGTGAAGCTGAAGGAAGAACTGAAGATGTGCCTGGGGCAATTTTAACTCGAGAAAAAACAGAAGAATGGACCGAGAAAAAGCTTCAGAGATGGCTTCTTTGCCTTAGGACCAAAACAACCGGAAAGAAAACGTTCTCAGCTCGTACAAAGGCAAGTACGCGCGGTCCGGGAAGTTTCTGAAGTTATTTGTGCATAAAAAACACAACTAGTTGGATGTAAATAATAATAATAATAATAATAATAATAATAATAATAATAATAATAATAATAATAATAATAATAAAATGACAAGTTTCGTATTCCCCGACGGCCCTGGGTAGAGCGCGATTGCGAGGCTAATGCGGGTGAACTTCTTTGAAAAAAAACAAAAACAAACATTGATAATTTGCTACTGAGTCGCTGGAAAACGATAGAAATCTCAAAAATAGTAAGATTTCAAAGCTTAAACTTTACCAGTAAGCGAATGGAATGTCTGTTGCAAACAACAAATTATGGGAAAAGCTGATCGTACTTAACAGAAGAAAGGAAAAAAGCGACGAAGCTTAAAGAAGAAGTAAACTTTTTAAGCTTGAAAAGGGCAAAGTTTGTTAAAATGACAATAATTTATTCCCTTTAATTATCCTTCTTCTTAGTTTTCTATTTTGCTCTTGTGTTTAGTGTAAAATGGAGTTTAAACTGCTCAGTATATCGTCTGTATAAAATTCTGTGTTTGAGTTCTTGTGGAGTGAAATGTGCGTACTGATAAATAATGTAAGCTAAAATAAAAATGTAAGCTTATGTATAAATAAACTTATATAGTATTTTAGTCATCTTCCTTTAAACCTATTTAACTTCCTTGCAGTGCAAGGAATTTATGTAGAACGTCTGTTTTCAAATACACAAGATTTTGCATTCACTCCGTTACAAAACATGTCAACTAAAAAAGAAGGTTTCAGTTTAACTCGCAGGCGTTCGACAGGTACGTACACTCCAATGGAAGGTATGGCTTAAAGAAGTCTTAACCATCACTGAAATAACATTAAAAAGGCTTTAGGGTATTACCTTGTGTAAGGACTTTGAAACCATCTTCTCATTTTCATTGAACTCACTCCGGCACTGACCACTGTTTGGTTAATTTCTAGTTAGGCTCGTTGTTTTTCTTAGTGATGTCGAGCTGATTTTCCTTTTGCTGTTTGAAACAATGATTTCCCAAGCCTGTAAATAAGTTTTGAGACCTCCAAAACCTTTCAACGTTTCAAATTTTCTTTTTTTTCTGCAACTTAGCCGCACTTTTCTCATCTTTGTCTCTTTGTTTGTCTTCTTGGTGAGAAGTGACCCGCATTTATAGCCTCGCTTTCGCGCAAAAACGAGCACGCGGGTACGAAACTCGCCTGTTCAAGGTGCCTACTCTAACAATCCCATAAATGAGTTCGCGCTTAGATTGAGTCCCAGGCTATCACTCTTTTCTGGCACATGTCAATCAATCAAAAAAGTGGGCGGCAGACGTTTCGTAGAAGGTTTGTATCAGGCTCTCTTTTCGTTTCGCCTTGACCGGCGGAATGTTATTTACAGATCGAAACGAAAATAGAGCCTGATCTCAGGTCACTATCGCTCAAAAATGTATTATTTACCCAGGAGCCTATGGGCTCCTGATTTACCCTATTTGAACAGCTTTTCCAATTGCTGTTATATATGAGACTCTTTACAGCTCCAACGGGGAAAAAAGACTTACTATTGCTCTTTTTCGGAGCCAGTTCTGGAATAACCTTTTGGCATGACAAAAAAGATCAGGGACGATACACAACCTTGCTTTGCTGGTAAAACAGATATCCGCTTTACAACTTGCATTTTTGCAACTTAATGAAAAAGAAAAAAGGTTTTTTAATAAGAGAAGTTAATATAGTCCTACCCTGGGTGCCAGAGACTTTTCATGCGCGGTTTCCGGTTTCGGTCAAGTCTTAAAAAGTGACCTGCGCTTAGCCGCCCGTGTCGGTCGAAGACGTGTCGGCCTGCGGCCGACGAAGCTCCTCGCACGCGAGAAAAAATATCTGGTACCCAGGGTAATATAGTCCAGGCTTGAGGGGAATTCAGTCCCTATTTTAAATAAAAATTTAACCCTATTGCTCTGACCTGAATCTTGACGAGGGTCTTTGCATATTTACCTCCTTTCATTTAACAGATTCTGGACTTTATCTATTGATCTGTTTTAATTTTAATTTTGATCTATTTTGAATCGCGTGACGCTGAAAACCAGCACAGTTTTAAACAACTTTTAAGCTTGGTAAGACTGTACAAAGCTCAGACCTGTATAAAGAGGGCAACGCTTCAGACAAGCACAAGTTTGACTATACTTTATTTTCTTGCTACAGGAGGATCAGCAATTAAGAAGATATAAGAGTCTTAAAAAGAGGAAAGACGTTTCGCAAGTAAGTAAAAAAATTATCGGCTTTAGTTTTAATTTTTTTAAATTTTACTATCCTAACGTGTTTTCTCTGCGAGAATCGTTTGTGTTTCAAGCCGAAATATATGCATTTCGTATATTCATACGTAGTTTATGCTTGTTGCTTTTCCTTCTTGTCTTCGTCACGAGGATCAGTTTGTTTTTTTTTCCTCTATTTTTCTCACCAACAGGAGCATGAGGACAAGCCGTTGTCATGGTAAATGATCCTTTTTCGGATCTACCGTTTTTTGTTGATGAATAATCCAAACGAGATCACAAATCCGTTTTTGGATTCTCCTGAAAAAACGCACCCCTAGAAAATCTAACCATTTGTAGATGTGCAGCGTTCGTACAAATTTTGGGATCCAATATTCAAGACCTTTTCCAGACTTTTTACCAAAAAAATACTGTACTTCCTTTTCCCAGACTTAAGGTTATCAAATAAGTGATTAATAGAGACCTTAAAAGACTAGGTAATAAAGCTTTTTTCATGATGCGCTGCAAACGTACAGGCGAGATTGAGTAAGATTTGACCAAAACGAAAAAATACTCCACTTATATAGCACTCGCTATAGCTTTGAAAAAAAAAATCAAGACATTTTACCATTTTTCTAGACTTTTTCCAGGTCTGGAAAATTGCTGGGCAAATTTCAAGACTTTTTCAAGAATTCAAGACTCTGTACAAACCCTAGATGTCAAAACAAAGGTAGTACATTCTCCTCAGTTACAAGACCCTGAGTGTTGGTCCGATCGGGATTTGAACGCGCGACCTCCTGCACGGTAGACAAGCACTTATCTAATTGAGCTAACCGGGCGGTGATTAAGATCTAGTGAAAACCAGATTGTCGGGGTCGGAAGCAGAAGCGGAAGGATAAACCAATCACAATGCAAATTCCCACGCTTTGCGATTGGTTTAGTTATTCCGCGTCTACTTGCGACTTCGACAATCTAGTTTTCACTAGATCGTAAACGACTGAGTCATAAGCGGAATCAGAACGCTGTTTCCACTAAATCGTTAAGTCCTGAGCTTCTTCCATTATATGTTCCACCTATCCTTATAGTCTCTTTCCAATATGAAGTAGCAAACAGTTTGATTGTTATCACTTGGATTGGGAATGGGTTTCTTAGATACCATGTACGCCTATTCGTTTCCGGTCACATGGACAGCGCGAATGTGTCAAAAGAAATGCTTTGACCAAGAAGGCCTGGGAAACCCGTGCGGAAAAAGAAGGGTTAATTTCTGTTGGCCAGAACCTCTTTAGAACCTCTAATTTGCTAGGTTCTTGTTGGCCCGAAGCTCCATTGTTTCAGAGTTGGGGTTCATTGTTCATTTTCATGGTTTGGGTTAGGGCTATCTATTGTTTTCTAAACCAATCCTGTGAGTCGTTCTTAGAGCTTCCGGCCCACCGGTTAATTTAAGGACGTTCGCGCCTATTGTCACGCAATTTATCATTAACTCAAAATTGCGTTTAAACATGTATCGAGCGTGTGCGCTAAGAAAGAAATATGCACATTCAAGTAATTGGCTGGTGGCCGATCTGAAAAACTTTTATTTCTCATCGTAAAGTATACTTAAAAATCACTTTTCAAAAAAATCATGTCTACAGCAAATGGCAATTTGTCAGTTGCACGTGACCAAGTTTTCTCTTTACTTGTCTTTTATTTTTCATACAGCTTTAAACAAAAATAATCAGTAGTCTGAAATATTAACCGTCGCTTCACCCAAGCCCACAACCAGAGTGCAAGGCGAGAGAGACGATGACATTTCAGACTAAATAATTAGTTCAATAGAAGTTCCATGTTTGCTTCGCAAAAGATTCACTTAGGACTGCTTTTATCTGCTTTTTTTTCTAAATAACCTCATTGCTTATTGCGGTAAACGTGATGATCTCGCCTTTGTATCGCTGGTGTACACAGCAAAGCTATAAAGAGCCTACACCGCAGGCAAACACCAGCGTTGAATATGGCCAACTTTGGAATATTAGTAAATATTATTGTAACAAGATTTCCCTAGTGATTCAAATAACCCGATAAATCAACCCTTTTCATAAAAAGTTCAACTTTTCCTGTTTGAAAAACAAATCCCCAAAAGGAATAAAATAGTAAGTCTCCTACGAAGCTGCCACGACCTTCGCTCGTTACAAAGCGCTCCACCCGGAAATAGCATTGGCTGCGTAGCCTACATCTGCACGGGAGAAAGTGCTGACACCCTAAATAACGTCTCCGTAGGAAACAAACTGTTTCTCTAACGTTGAGAAGCTTTCACAAGCATGATCTGTGGCAACCCCGTGCATGTATATTGCTAAATAATTATGAAGATAAAATTTCAAAAAAATTTCTAAAAAGTGAAAAGTACATTGTAAATTGTGACATCAGCTAATGGGACAGCTTTTTCAATCACCAAGGCTTGTGAGGGCATTTTGAACTTCTTCAAATACCTGATAAAATAAACAGAACCAGAAGATGAGTAGTTTGCCAGTAACTGACCACTACAGAAAATACCATAACATACCATAATGCTCTTTGTTTGTCACCACAAAATTTTGCATAAGCATTGTGTACAGTTTCTCTTGGGGCCATTTTAACTCCCAAGAGAAAATGAAGACAATGCTCATGCAAAATTTTGTAGTGGTCAATAATGACAAAAGGTGGTACACTACTGAACTCTTGGTTTCACTGGAGATTCCACGGGGAAATTTCCGAAGTATGAAAAAAATGACACAGAAACCCCGTGGAGCTCGAGGGTGGCAGGGGGATTTACCGCTGTACAGGGTATAATTTTGGACCTCTCTGCCTTAAACAGGGAAAAGGGATAGGAAGGGATTTCAATGAGATCAAGACAGTATAATATTCCAACGCACTGCATACCCATTGTCCCGACACTGGGAACTAAGTTACTGGAGGAAACCACAACTGCCAGGACAATAGGCATGCTGAATAATGACAGTATGCGACGTCAACTGCCACCAGGGGAGGTGGGTGGGGCGATACTTTGAAGTCACTTCCACTGAACTCCACTGAACTGGCCAAGAGGTGGGCAAAAACCCAGCAATTCTAAGCAAGGGCCACAAGGTATCATGCCAACACAACGGAATTATTAAAGCCTCATTCATCCCTGAGCCGCCCGTAACCACCCGTGCCGATCCATGTCCCTCTACTGCTTGTGATGTTACCAGTTTTAATGTCAAGGACGACTTTGTCTGCTAACTTCTGCAGAGTAAAGAGATCTTTTAAACCATACCAGAGTGACCACAATTCAGTCAAGGGTACTGGAGCGAAAAGCAAAAAACTGTGTAACATTGATCTGAAAATATCCATGAAAATCTTGTTCCACTACCCATCTATCTCTCCTTTCATCTAATCCTAAGATCCTAAAAGCTTTCCTAAATTTTTTTCTCACCAAAATGAAGCCAACTAAATACTCAGTAAAAGAAAAAAAAAAATGAGGCAATAAAAGTGAAAAAAGAGGGGGAAGAAATTTTGCTTTCTGCCCATGCCCGAACTCCCCAAGCTAATATTTTGTACCTGGATCAGAAGGCCACGAAGTGTATGACCTGTACATGGGTTTATGGTAAAGTTTAGCTCTTTCAGCATGACAGTGACCAGAAAACTGCTTGACTAGCTTTAAAACGTGTTTTTCGGCAAAATTTCCAGGGGCGGATGGGCTAAAGGAATTCTTATTTCCCGCGTCATGTGCCAATTGTGTATGCACTGAGAATAGTCTACCTTGCCAGTTTCAAATGTTTCTTGCCTGGCACATTGTGCCTAGGACGTGACAGTTACATATGTACATGAAACCACTGGCAACTGTTGTATGTCAGAGTCATTGAAACCAGAAAGGTTAACTGTCTTCAGCCTAATTTAAACTACTTTCAGATGACTCACAAAGTCTCTGGAATCACTTACAGTGTACAAACAAACAGTGTACAAACTTTTTCCATGCCCCTTAATCCATAAAAAAGTTAAAGAGAAACAACAGACCTTTTTACCAATATGGCAGCCATATAATTGAATTTATCAGATTTAAGGAGTATTACTGGATGACCCGGGGGCACTTGCTCAGTATTTACACGAACTTTTCAGGCAAAAAGAGAACTTCAATAAATTATTATATATTTCTTGGCAAAAAGGCGATCATTATTACATCGAAACGCGGCACAGCGATCTTTTTTCCCATTACCAGGGCTTCTGATATTTCGCGCGGTCGCGGACCCGCGAAATTCAGGTATTTCCGCGAAATCCCGCGAAATTCCCCAAAAAACGAGAAATACCGTGAAATCCGCCGGAAATATTTCCAAATACATGTCGGCAAAACATATTTAATACTTATCTTAGCTATTAGACCTGTTTTATTCACCCCAAACGTCCAAATTTATCTTGAAACTTCGTCACTGCAACGAGTAAACAACGTCCCAAAACTACCAAGCGTTTTTAGATGAACGTTGCGAAAAACTGGGCACTAACCAAAATGTTTAATATCTTTAGCATTCGCTCATTTTTCGAGCGAACTGTTGTTGAAAGAGCAAATGATTGTCCCGGTTAAAAAAACGTTAAACAACGCTGGTCATATCGACGCAAAATTGATCGATTTTAGCGAAATTTCCCCCCCAAAATCCAGCGAAATAGGCTGTTTTTTACTGATTGTTTCATGGCGAGGTTTCCCCCCGAAATTTCCCGTGAAATCGGCCGATTTTTCTAAGAATTTGCCTCTGAAAATCCTTCGAAATTTGACTTTTTTCCGCAAAAATCCCGCGAAATCGGCCGATTTTTCTGTGAATTTTGACTTTTTCTTGCAAAAATACCAGAAATCGGCTGATCTTTCCGCGAATTTTGACTTTCTTCCCGCGAAATCGGCCGATTTTTCCGCGAATTTGCCCCTGAAAATCCCGCAAAATTTTGCTTTTTTTCTGCGAAATATCAGAAGCCCTGCTTTACAATCTTTTTCTAGGAAAACTTAAAGAGAAATGGCCGTAAAAGCGCCCGTAAATACTGATGCAATTATATCGGATCGTGCTTATGCTCCTTGGTCATGCCATAATACTCATTAAATCCATTTAATTCAATATGGCTGCCATATGGGTAAAAAGGTCTATTTGCAGTGTAAATTCAAATGCACCATTAACCATACTTGCGAAGCTACAGGTGCAACACCTTACCTGTTCTGGTGATTTAATTGCCTGGATCTTTTTCACAAGTCCTAGTTTCTCATAATGTTGGATAATTGGCATAGTTTGTGTTTCATATGTATGAAACCTATGAAAGAAGGGTATATTGATCGGGCAGTTAAAATTAATATTGCCGCGTAAAATCAAGTTTTACTTCTACTCAATAAGGAGAGGACAACTCTTGAATAAGTCCCCTATGAAGTGGAAACAAATCGTTTTGCACCTATTGCTGCATTTAAGTCACCATTTGCCAAGTTAAATCACCATGAAAAGTTACGTAATAAAATAGGGGCATGCAGTCCAAATCAACAAACAACAAGATGGCTTAGTAATGGGGACACAGCCCTGTGGCAGGCAATTAGCAACTTTGGGTTACACGCACAAATACACACAGCCTCACTTATTGCCCCACTATCGTGGGGTAGGACAATACCAGATCAAGCAGATCAAGCAGATCAAGCCTTTCTTATCTCCCTAGCACTGCATACGCTGGATCAGACAAGATGATGGCAAACGAATAAGATAGCAAGGTACAAACAATGCCAACAGCTCAGGGGATTAAGCTGCAAAGAATGCCATAGAAGCATGAAATGCATGAATTCCTCTAAGCAACACACAAAACCCGAAAAAAAGTTCCCTGACACACAAACCATTTTTGGAACCACAGAAAGCACACTGCCTAAGGAAAATGAATTGCCTTCTGTCCAATAATAATTTGTTTTGATTTGTTTTGTTTTGTTTTTGCAAAGGCCTGTATTATGATAGTTTTGGCTGAGCATGAGTATGCTGGAGATATCCAGGATGAACAGGAAAATGTTTGTATCAATGACTGAATAGAAAAATAATATTGTGCCTTATAGGCAACATACATGTAATGAAAATCATTAAGAAAAGGAAAATTAAATACAATTCACAAGCAACACTTCTTTAAAACCCAGTGAATAACAAGGGGGAACGCATTTAAAATTCTGTTGGATACATACCTCTTTTTAAGACTCTCAATGTTATCATCAGGCCTCCCACTTGACTCTCCTCTCAGCATTATTCTCTTAATACATTCCTGTTTTCAGGGAGATGTTTAATAATGCATTAACCTTCAAGATAAACATGATTATATATATACTTTTTCCCTTCTGGTAACTAAAACACCCTGATGACCATAACAAACATTGTCTTCTTGTTTTTCATGGTTAATCACTATGAAAAAGAAATGGATTGAATTCAGTAGCAGCAGAATTAAGGCATTACAAGGTTCATACCCTTTTTTGAATGAAAAATTCAAGGACCTTTTAAGGACTTTCAAGGACACATTTCCCATTTTCAAGGATTCCATTCAGTGCAAAAAAAGAGTATACATCAGTGTATCTCTTTTTACATTTTTCCACAACATGACCAATTTTATCCTGAAGGTCTTTCTGTGTTTGCTCCTGTTAGGCACTTGAGAATCTGGGTCATCCTGGATACAGTTAGCACCAAAATTCAAGGACTTTTCAGCACACCAACTGTAATTTTCAAGGACTTTCAATGACAACACCATGTGATTGCTTGTCTTTACGCCACGATTTTGATTGTTCCGTCATTCACACATGGGGCACCGATAAAAGCATACAAAGCTGTGATTGGAGAAGTCACCGTACCACAAACGTGGCGTGAACACCTTCCAGAAAATGGGAGCTGAATTCTAATTGGCTAACCGAGGGAAAGGAATGTGGTTCGATTCTCAGCAGCCATTTGTGGGGAGGAATGTTGGAGAAAAACGGCTGCGTAGCAGACTAGAGCTTTCGTGACCCATCCAGAAGACCAGGAGATTGGTGCTTTATCAAGAAGACTTACAGATAATCTGGGAGAGTTGGCATATAATGTATGTGATGATATGCAGTGATATACTCATGACAGACTTGCACAACATAACAAGAGATAACTACGCTGTACATTTTCAACAAAAATGCAAATTGATTGTACTGGCAAAGTATGTACCTCTTCTGTGCACTCGAAAAATAAAACACACTTCACATCCGCTTTTCCATCCATAACTTTATGCCAACCTTGAAGATTATTTTCATTCCTTGGAAACCCATCTATGAGGAATTTCTTTGTGCTACTTTTGTTCATTGCCTAGCAAAATAACAAAGACCTGATCACCTTAAAATAGCAAGTTTAGTATGACCATCAACTTTAATGATGGCAAATTAATGTAGAGGTCGTTAAAAAGTCAATCACTTTCTACTCAGGAAGTACATGTACACACTCACCAAGATGAGTTCTGGGTTCAAACCACTTACAATTTTATAATTAAAAATGTCTACTGTCAGAGGCTTTACATTGCGTTAACAGAGAAGAATATTATTTTGCTAATAATAAAGTTAAGAGTAGGTTATTATGAACTAGAATGACAATTTAAAGATTATGTCTTGTAGTTTTCCACCAAGAAGTCAATTTTCAGATGTGCTAGTAGTCCTTAGAGCTGTTGATATTTGTCACATCATGATAAGAAAGCCTACTTTACATGCAATGACATACTCTGAAAAAGAAACTCGCTCAAATTCAATTTTTTCATAGAAGACAAAACAGCAACAACTAAGTACTCCTATACAACAACAACAAAGAGTGAAAACAAAACATGATACCAAAACAAACATTCAAAACAAAATGTTGTACCTTTTCAATCAAGCTTATTGTGATTTCTACAGGAACAATCTTTCCTTCCTTCATACAAGTTTCAATAAGGTCTCCATTTTCTGAGCCACTGGCTCTTTCCACTCTTAATAATTCCCCTGCTGATAAATGAATGTATCCAAATTCCTACAATAAAATATTGCAAATACTGCATTTAGAATGACAAAGTAACCCTGACATACATACAGACAGATACATTAGACAAGAAACTGGGATTATGAAAAACTACAAAATTAATACAGTGGAACCTTGTTTAGTTCGGTTGTTTAGTTATACTTAATCTTCAAGGGTAAGAAGAAAAGATAAGTCCTTAACCGGGGTGTGTACGGATGTAACAGCCCATTAACTCAGAAGTTCTACTTTTTGGCAGAAAAAGTGCATATAAAAGTGCCTCATAAAACCTTGGATAATATTATAGATACCACTAAGTGTACATTTTTCGAAAGTGCGGACTGTTTTTAATGGAAATATTCAAAATATTGTGACAGAATGGTTTGAAATAAACAACTTTCAATTAGTAGCAACAAAGTTATTTGATCAAAAAGGTATGCTTTAACGATATTACAGCCAGTATCAAAATCAAACTACGCATTATAATCAAAGACTGAAAACTGTGACGAGAGGACGTAATTCGATTGCCACGTTTGCATGGTCAGTTGTTAAGCTTCAAATTAAATATTTGTTTGCATTCTAGAAAGGATGTTTTCACCGCTACCTTTACAATCTTCTCACATTGTGTGCCTTTGCCAGCTCCAGGTCCACCCAAAACAAAGATAACAATTGGCCTGACTACTGAAGACATGACTCTTTGCGCTGGATAATTGATCCTTCCGAAAACAAATGATAAATGATACATGTAATGACCAAAGTTCGAGTGTAATATAATTTAAAACGCTTCGAAAGCGCGAAGATTTTTAGCTCGATGATTATAGTCCGCTGTCCATTCGAATCGTAAAGCTTTTATTACTCATTAGGGAGGAACAGCAATGTACGTTTTTGTTCTTAGAAGAAGGACAACTTTTTCATATGAACTAGGACTAGAACCTTTACACTATAAGGAAATTCTCCTTTAAAGATGATTTTCATAATGATTTGAGGAGATTATTTGTGCTTTACTTCTGTTTAATGCTTTGGAAACAAGACACCTTCCCATCCCTGCTCAGTAACTCAGTTTTGCTACTCGAAAACGAGTCTACATCAACAACATGGCGGATCGGCGGTACTTTCTGTGAAGTCTCCACTGAAATATTAAATTGCAACAATTGGTTGACATGTACTTTCCAATCGGCTGGCCAAAGTATTTCAGCTCAAAGGATGTCCACTGTGGAGAATTAAAATCGCTAAAATACAACAGAGATCGTTCGCTATTGGCCGTTGTTTCTGATCACAGTGTCTGCATATGGAATAACCGGGTAAATATGAAGCTTAACATTTATGTTCATGTGATATTAAAGTACATTGTAGTGGTATTTTTGCTCACCGTCCATTTTAACATTCCTTTTAGTTTAATTCTCGCTTTAGTCTTTATTATACACATACAAATTCCAAGCCAAACTACCTGCCTTATATATATGCCTATATGAAGTGTACGCGTATGCGTAATTTACTCACTGGACACACTATGACAGCTGATGCAGGTCAGCACGAGAAATGACTTGTCTTGTCAGAATCTTAGTTTTATAATTTTATCAAACCTTATCTTTGAAATATGACAAAAACCGTTAGTCAATTTGATGACAATTATCTGCTTTAATGTCGCATATAGCTTTATGTTGACAAACACGAGACAATAAAACTTAAGCTTACATGTACCAGGAGTGTGAAGGTAAAATTTGATATTAAAAAATTGAAAATGCCTTATTTAGCGTTTTGCTTGGAAGGAGGAATGCTGGTTAACATTGGGCTTCTCTTGATCCCTATAAAGACTATCATTCACTCTACTTTAAGTCTGTTATGTTTCAACTTACTCTTCCTAACTGATCATGTGACGCATTTTATCTCCCACACTACTGTCTATCGAGCTCTAA